GTCTTCTTTCCAACAGACACTGGGAGACACATTCACCTTTCAGCAGGACAATAACCTAAAACACAAGGCCAAATATACACTGGGGTTGCTTACCAAGTTGTCCTTGAATGTTCCGGTGTGGTCTAGCTACAGTTTTGACTTAAATCGGCTTGAAAATCTATGGCAAGACTCGAAAATGGCTGTCTAGCAATGATCAACAACCAACTTGACAGAGCTTGAAGAATTTTAAAAAGAAGAATATGCAAATGTTGTACAATACAGGTGTGCAAAGCTCTTAAGAGACTTAACCAGAAAGACTCACAGCTGTAATCACTACCAAAGGTGATTCTAACGTGTATTAATAAGTGAATACTTATGTAAATAAGATATTTCTGTATTTCATTTTCAATACATTTGCTATTATTTCAAAAAACATGTTTTCACTTTGTCATTATCGGGTATTGTGTGTAGATGGGTGATTTTTACATTTTTTAAATCCATTTTGAATTAACTTAGTCCTAAATATTTCTAAAATTAAAAGCATTGTATTTGGGACAAATCATTCACTAAACGTCAACTAAATCTTGTAATGAATAATGTGGAAATTGAGCAAGTTGAGGAGACTAAACTGCTTGGAGTAACCCTGGATTGTAAACTGTCATGGTCAAAACATGTTGATGCAACAGTAGCTAAATTGGGGAGAAGGTCCGTCCATAATAAAGTGCTGCTCTGCCTTCTTAACTATCAACAAGGCAGGTCCTACAGGCCCTAGTTTTGTCGCACCTGGACTACTGTCCAGTCGTGTGGTCAGGTGCCACAAAGAGGGACTTAGGAAAATTACAATTTGTTCAGAACAGGGCAGACACACACAGGCACAGACACACATAATAAGAGACGCACTCTACACACACGTACACATGGACGTTGTATTGTAGATATATGGTAGTAGAGTAGTGGCCTGAGGGCACACACTTAACATGTTGTGAAAAGTGTTATGAAATGTAATGTATATTTCAAATTGTATATAACTGCCTTAATGTTGCTGGACCCCAGGAAGAGTAGCTTCTGCCTTGGCAGGAACTGAGGATCCTTAATAAATAAAAATACACATTTAGGCTAGGAATGACATGTGGCCCATTGTTTACCTTGTTACCTGGCAACTGTAATCAGGAACAGGAACTAATGGGTATCCTTAATAAATACAATAGAAATACAACAAAATGTGGAATAAGTCAAGAGGTATAAATACTTTCTGAAGGCACTGTACATCAATATTGTTTCTCTATGTGTGACAGGGTAGGCCTACTACAGGTTTGAAGATGTATGTATTGGTAGCTTCATAAAAACTAAAAAGGACATTCAAAGGGGAAAGTAAAATGTCAACTTCAACTGAAAAAAAGGGTTCACGCAATCAAATATTTTTTTTTCAAATGGGTTATGTGGTAGTCTCGAAAACCCGAACCTAGGCAACACAGTGACTAGGGTCTGGTTTGAAGTATGGACTCTTGGCATAATGGAACTACGTCACTACTTTATCCACTTAAATAAAATACAAAATAGTAGCTACCAAGATGGAGATCACAGAGCTTATTTTTAATGAGTGCATTTAGCAAGTGGCTAGTTTGCATAAACTACCTCAAATAAAACCACTGCAAAGGTTTTGCCTGCAAACTTTGGTTTAGAATCGCGACATTCTGGCATGTCTGCCTCGTGGTTTGTTGGAAGAGTACCCGGAAAATGTTATTTTTTTCCCCTTATCAACATACACTACATGACCAAAAGTATGTGGACACCTGCTCATCATTCCAAAATCATGGGCATTAATATGGAGTTGGTCACCCCCTTTCTGCTATAACAGCCTCCTCTCTTCTGGGAAGGTTTCCTTGGAACATTGCTGCGGGGACTTGCTTCCATTCAGCCATAAGAGCATTAGTGAGGTCGGGCACTGAATAGGCCTGGCTCGCAGTCGCAATTCCAAATCATCCCAAAGGTGTTTGATGGGGTTGAGGCCAAGGCTCTGTGCAGGCCAGTCAAGTTCTTCCACACCGAGCTCGACAAACAATTTCTGTATGGACCTCACTTTGTGCACAGGGGCATTGTCATGCTGAAACAGGAAAGGGTTTCCCCAAACTGTTGCAACAAAGTTGGAAGCACAGAATCGACTAGAATGTCACTGTATGCTGTAACGTTAAGATGTCCCTTCACTGGAACTAAGGGGCCTATCCCGAACCATGAAAAATAGCCCCAGACCATTATTCCTCCTCCACCAAACTTTACAGTTGGCACTATGCATGGTGATCTTAGGCTTGTGTGCAGCTGCTCGGCCATGGAAACCCATTTCATGAAGCTCCCGACGAACAGTTATTGTGCTGATGTTGCTTCCACAGGCAGTTTGGAACTCAGTGTTGCAACTGAGGACAGACGATTGCAACACAGACAGTGTTGCAACCGAGGAGAGACTATTTTTACGCGCTACGCCCTTCAGCACTCCGCGGTCACGTTCTGTGAGCTTGTGTAGCCTACCACTTTGCGGCTGAGGCGTTGTTGCTCCTAGACGTTTCCACTTCACAATAACAGCACTTACATTTGACCGGGGAAGCTCTAGCAGGGCAGAAATGTGATGAACGGACTTGTTGGAAAAGTGGCATCCTATAACTGCCACGTTGAAAGTCACTGAGCTCTTCAGTAAGGCCATTCTACTGCCAATGTTTGTATATGGAGATTGCATGTCTGTGTGCTCGATTTCACACCTGTCAGCAATGGGTGGGCCTGAAATAGCCAAATCCACTCATTTGAAGGGTTGTCCACATACATTTGTATATAGTGTAGGTAGTGACAGTTCCTCTATGCCAAAAGTGTCCATCATTAGGGGCATTCCTGACAGATCTTACAACGCCTGGATAGGCATTTTAAGTATCAGCTAACCACATCATATGTTATAGAAATCTGTCAGTCGATGACACAGTTGATGACAGGGCACGCTTGATACATGCAATGTCTGAGCAGGGGAACGCAACCATTGAAACCAGACCCTAGTCACTGGTCGCGTTCCCCTGCTCAGACGTTGCATGCATCAACCATTGGTTGCGTGCCACGTCCGACTGTGTCATCGGGCACCAGATTGCTATAAATATGATGTGGTTAGCTGATACGTAAAATATCTATCCAGGCGTTGTAATATCTGGCCTGCGTCAGCAACGGGCAGAGGAACGCACCCACTAGTTTCCCTAGGGTCAGGTTTGAGACTAGATCTGTGGTGGGGGCTACACAAATCTACACCCTTTCACTAAATATAAACTAACTACTGTGTCTACAACATCAATATACAAATGGACTAATATTTATTCTCATCCTCTGCCACATACTGACAGAAATGCCTCCCGTCGGTCAAGAAACTCGTCAAGGTATGGCCAGAAATTATATTATTTCAAAGTGAGTTCATATCCTTCATTCAGTTATCATTTTCACATGGGACAATGATAGCTGGCACTGAATACCTACATTTAGCAGCTGCCAGAGGCTTCTAACTTTCCTTAGTAGTCAGGTCCAGACTTCCACTGAGTCTTATCCCAGTAGTATTCACACACTTCATGTCTATAACCTCTCTGAACATAAATTAATGTTCCCATGCAACGCCTCTTATGAGTAGCTGACCAATAAAGGAAAACATGATTTAATACATCATTTCATGTTTAAACTTGGGGCTCTAGGGATAACCTCCCTGCTTACTGTGGATTAATGAATTAGCCATGTAGCCATGCAAAAGATAAGTGCGTTCTACAAGTGCTTTCTTTGTGGCATTACATATATGTGGAGCTGTGATTCTTTTTAAACTAATAATTTGGAGGTCATTTTAAAGAGCAAGTGATTACAATAAGTTGGTTATGGTGTTCTTTTTACTCTACTACAGAAAGATAGACTTAAGAAAAAAACTCTAACTTGTCTCGCAAACTACAGATCTTTCAAGTCCACCACTTCAGATCTCGAGACAATAATGTTTTCCTTTAATTGTTTCAAGAGCCATTCCACCACTTTCCTTCAGAAAGACCAGAGCGGAAAGCCAGTGAAATTCACCAGCTTTCCGTTTCAGAACATCTGCGACAACAGACCTCATGTAGAAAACTTTCCAACTCAAAGTTGAAAAAGATGAATGGTCAGTATTCTTCCGGCTCCTGCACCATTTGATTCCGTTTGAGACATTCAACAAGACCACTTTTGGTCTGCCCAAACCCTCTCTCCTTCTCTCTCTCAAACATGTTCAAATGCAGAGCATGAGCACGGATCAACTTTGAGGTTAGAATTTTTCCCAAATCGACTGACTGCTTCAAGAGTTTCCTCCCCTTCTTTCCCTCTCTGTCTGGCAGGAGGCGGTTTTGTAGAGTGAGGTTGGAGGGGTGTGAGAACTCCTCTTCTCAGTCTCTCTGCTCCGAGAACAATGTCCTCAGCCAACGAACTTTTGGTGTGGAGGAGAGGTGGCAGGGATGTGACTCCTGTGTCCCCAATGAGGATCCACGACCTTTCACCCCTCGACTCATCATCGAAGGGCTCGTCGCTCCGACGGTGCTACCCGGGCGTATGCTGCTTCTCCTTTTCTCAGTGTGCGAGCAGCGCCTTCTCTCTCCCTCCTCCTCTCTCGTCTGTCCAGCTCTACCCCCATTTTGCTCTCACTCTTGTGATTGGTTGGTTTCTCTCGGTCTCTTTCCTGTTGCTTTCACACAGTGGTGCTTCAGTTGTAGCAGTGGAAAACGGGTATCCATGTTTGTTCTTTTTTTAAATATTACCCAGATTAAAATGCAGACGAACTAAGCTCAGCACAGGCTTAGCTCCTTTTCCCACAACCTAAGAGTCAAATAAAACAAAGATTACTTTTATACCCTGACAAAGAGTAGATCTAAAACAGCTTCTGGTATCCCATTTACTCCACCTGATATTATGATATTACTAAACAACACATCTTACAGTAACTGTTGGCTTAGCTCATAGAATATAGAGCAAAACGTTCAAATGTAGTCTCTTACACTCTAGTACTGGGACAGTCCAGTCACACCATGTTGATAGGCTCTTTCCCCTTGGTAGGTGGAGTCTTGGGAGAGGGCCACGTCAATCTGGGACTTGAACTCATCGCCAAGGTAGCTGTCCTGTAAGAAAAACAGCAAAGGAGAAGCTTTTAGCCTGCATGTACATGTCTATGTCAGACCAAGAACGTCTGCTATAAGACACCAATGGAAACGTTCTGCTGCCTTACCTGAGAGAGTTCAGGCTGGGAGAGGCCAGGCTGGCTCATCTGGGAGGGCTGGCTCATGGTGATGTAGCCCTGGGTGAGTGGTCCCTGGGAGAAGGGCTGGGAGCCCAGGTCCTGGCTGGCCTGGCTGCCACTCATGAGGCCCTGATGCACGCTGCCCCCGCCGTGGTTCCCCATGCCACGGCTCCTCTGGCGCCCACCTCGCGCCCCTCCGCCGCCCGCCTTACCCTTCATACCTCCACCACGGCCTGCTTGGGGGCCGTTGACCTGGCCCAGGTAGCCTGGCGGGGGCATGGGAGGCATGACCAGGTTGAAGGGGATGGGGATGTTCATGGAGGCCATGGGGCCCGGGCCAATCATGCCGATCTGGTCGTGGGTCTGGAAGTACATGTTGGATGTACGTCCTAGAAGGAAAACAAAGAGACCATATTGAACAACGGCAAAACCGGTACAGAGACACACAAGTTTACAGTTTGACGTCATCTCTCACCAGTGTTGCTGCGGTCATACACAGATCCAGGAATAAGAGCCTCTCTGGCATCATACATGGCTGTGCTCATGAAACGGCCCCCCTGAAGAACCCACACATAGAACAAACATTTCAGTAAGTCTGTAAACTGTAACACACACACAGTAGCCCATGTTCTTTTAACAATGGTGTACTGTCTACAGCCAAAGTAAATCATGAAAGTAAAACACCACATAAACATGTACATAATCCAACACACGTGTTTAAGGGGTGGGCGAGACTCACAGGGTTGATGGCGTTGACTAGCTTGCGGGGCTTGCTGAACTGCATGAGGCTCTCTCTCAGGTTGTTGAGGGGTCCCTCCACCAGAACCTTCTGCTCCTTGTAGTAGTTGAGCAGGTGGTTCCACAGAGGCTGCTTGGACAGGGCTTTGGGGTTGCCCACAATGATAACCCCATACCTACACACACACAGATAGGACACACTTCCTTTCAAACACTTCCTTCACAGATACAGAAAATAATATGACGTAAATAATTACTCTTTGCAGTGTGACAGTACTTTGTTACTGCCCGAGTAATGATAACTTCTAAATCCTCACAGCAAAACGTTGACATAATTCCAAAGACAAATATTCAAAGTCTTGCAAAACTTGAAAGACAGGATAATGCTACTATTTTTCTCATTATCTGTTGAGCATCAGGAGACAGAGAGAATGGTCCAGGTGTTGTTTACCTGGCCCTGGTGAGAGCCACGTTGAGACGGCGCGGGTCGTTGAGGAAGCCGATGCCCTGGTGCTCATTGGCTCTGACACAGGACAGGATGATGAAGTCCTTCTCTCTGCCCTGGAACGCATCAACGCTGGCTATCTCCACCTCCTAAGGACAGCCAAGAAACAGGAAAGCAATTAGATAAGCTAACATAGACGTATGCACCATTCCAGTCATCATCTGGCCTTCACTTAAAACATTCGAATGGATGAATGATTCCATGAGCACATTACTAAACCAATGTAAACTGGTTTATTTATATTTATGGACTCACATTACAAGCTATAATTATCTTTAAAACCTGCTACATTACAGTGAGAATATGACTGACAGACTTGAGTGCCGCAGCGGACCAGATTGATCACACATTTTACATCCAAGCCTGTGTGTTGTACCTGGTAGAGCTTGGTGTGGAGGGAGCCACTAAACTGCATGTACTGCACCAGGTAGGACCGCTGGCCCTCGTAGGGGGTGATGATGCCTATCTGGTCAGGCTTGGCCCCAGCCTTCAGCAGCCTGGTGGTGATCTTCTCCACGTTGGAAGCCTCAGTCCTGTACAGCGGGAGAGAGAGAAGAAAGCAAATTCACGAAACAAGCAAAACATGCCCTTTTTATGACTGGAGTCTGTCCGTTTGGTCAGTGTACGAAAGCACTGAAATGACATGACAAATGCTTTAGTTTGTCAAATACCTGTTTAGATAGGAGGTTCCAGAGCTTGCGATTTCCTCCTGGCCCAGGGTCACGTAGAAGAACATGGGCTTGTCTGGCTGTGGCCACTGGAAGTCAAAGCCTTTCTTGATGCGGTCAGCTGTGTAAATAAAATAGAAATGGGGAAAGGGAGTTAGTAAAATGTACATTAAGGTTAATCCAGATTTAAGTATAAATGAAGCCAATGTCATGTTTTACCTTTGTTTTGGGTGTTTGAAACCTGGTGAAAACTGAGTAAATCTGGCTGTTATAAGGAAATACATGATTGTTTTGTTTTCTTTGTCCTTCGAGACGGACTATCTAAACTACCCAACCAGTTTGTACACAACAGGGAGTCCATTCCCCTCTTGCTGGCCAAGCACATCAGCAGGGCAAGCTCACCCTCACCTGTGTTTATGAAGGTTCTATAGACGGGTTGGTTGACAACGTTCCAAAAATGATGCGCGTAGTAAGTGTGGTGTTATGATTTTGAACGGTTAGATCGCTTGCAATAATGACTAGAAGCTGCCATGTTGGAAATCATAGTTGGCTCGTGTCAGCTCGTTGTATCTTGTTATTGATACCATGTCTTGACTCATGTCATGTCTATGCTAATATGGCTCAAATTCACTAGCTAGCTATCCAGCAACTGTAACGATGTATTTGAGCGACAACAAGTCCTCATTGTGCAAATGTATTTATGTTAAACATTTGAAAACTGAATATAGTTTACATGTTGTCAACAATCTAAGCCAACCCAGTCTGTTCTGCCCCATAGTTGCGCACGTGTCGGTTTTGTTGGTAAACAACCAACCCGTCTACACACTGACCCCGACTTCCATTCCTCACTGACTTACCTGCGGTGACTCCGTTCTGCAGGGAGCCCTCATAGAAGATGTTGGAGGGGAAGGCGCTGAGGGCCGGGTGCATACGGTACTGCACCTGCAGACGGATGGGCCTGATGCCCAGCACCACCAGACGCTCAAACAGGGACTGGGACAAACCTGCCTTGGCTGCCTTTTTACACATCACTACTGGACCCAGCTGGCAGTGGTCTCCCACCAGGATCAGCTGGAAAGAAACAAACAGAGAGAAATCATAGATTTAGTATGAATAGAAAGGCCATTCCAATTCAAATCCAATGTTGTGTGGTGTGGAAACTAGCATTGGGTGTAGTGTTTGCATATCACATCTCAGAGAACTTAGCCCCTGTCTCAGTGTTCTGCTCTTGCAACAACGTCAAATTCAACCAAGCACAGACATCCGGAGCAAGGTGATAAATGTAACTGCACTTTTCCCTCAGCAACAACCTTTGATAAACATTCTGTACGAGAAAGAGGGAGAAGTTGGGACCTGTCATGGAGCTAACTGACTGGACATCATTTTTCTTAGAGATTGCCCTGAGACGTACCTGCTTGGCCCCCAGTATGACAGGCACCATACACTCTGGCTCAGTGGCCTGGGTGCTCTCATCGATGAGGATTGAGCGGAACTGCATTTTGGCCAGGCGGGGGTCTCCTGCCCCCACACAGGTACAGCAGATCACGTCAGCATTCTGTGGAGCAGAGATGGGAGACGTGGTCAGTGATAATCAACTTGAGGAAGTAGACATTTATTTACAGTGGAATTATGTCATTTTTAGGACTTTGTTTTAAGGGAGAGTGTGGAATAGGGACAGGTGTTACCATGAGTAGTTCCCTCTCGGCGGTGCGCTTCAGGGCCCTGTAGCGCTTCTCATCAGAGGAGGACAGCTCCCCAGTCTCGTCCTTCAGCTGCTGGAGCTTCTGAAGCTCTGGTATACTGCACACAGATACAACAAAAAACACAAACTGAGAAACCAGTACTCTTTAGTGTGGAGAAATGATGTAGCCTATGATGAAGGTTCAGGTTCAGAAAAGCTGCAAGACAGAGGAAAGGCCTCTGAACATGAACTGAGGATCTATGCTTTCAAACTGAGGCAACTCTCATTGCCCATAGCCAAGTTCTCAAGTGGAATCGATCATTTGTCTACTGAGATAGCGGGACACCTGATAAGATAAAGACACCGTTCCTCTCTCGATAGCAGTCCCAGGTTACCTGTCCATGTTGCGGATCTGGTTGTGCAGAGCCAGGAAGGACACAGGGGAGTCGATGGCCTCTCTGCTCTTGGCAGACAGCCTCACCACTTTCAGACCTGACATGTGGATCTTCTCAGTCAGCTGGTCTACCGCAATGTTACTGGGAGCGCACACCAGCACAGGCCTGAGGACACACACAACTAGTGTTAGGGATGGACAAAGTGCTTATAAACCTTTAGGTTGGTGAATTTAGAAAATCTGTATATGGTGTCCCCTATTAAGTGAGCACATCTTACCCGTTGCCCTGTCTGGCCAGGTGATACACTACAGTGGCGGAGGTGACAGTTTTTCCTGTGCCAGGGGGCCCCTGGATGAGACTGAGAGGACGCTGCAGCACAGTCTTCACAGCATACACCTTTGTGATGACACATTTTAAAATGCCAAACATTCAGCAAATATAGTTTTAGATGGGATAACTCAAATCTACTCATAGCTTCTGCATTTGGTAACACCCACCTGTGAGTGGTTGAGGTCAGGCAGGCCCTGGGCGGTGAAGCGTTTGGGCAGCTGACACTTGATGACCACGTCCTCCACCTCGTGACCCAGCAGCTTGTGGTAGATGTACCCGGACACAGAGGTCTCATCCACGGCAAAGGTCTTCAGGGCACTCTGCATCCTGGAGGAAAGTTTGAAACAGTGTGTAATAGTTAAGTCCATTGCCAAGCAAACCGAGCTCAACCCATTTGTTGCGTTTCATATCGATTGGTGTCAGAAGGTTCCTACCGGTCAAAGGAGGTGGATTTCCACACAAAGTCAACCTGGAAGTTATGTGGTACTTCCACGGGAGCCCCAGCACTGCTCCTCAGCTCAATGGCTATCTCATCACCATAGTCTATTGTCACAGGATTAAGGACTACACACAAACAAAACACCTATTCCTTCCAGAGACTAATGCAGAGATATTGGGGTGCTACTGAAAGGACAAAGTCAAACAGAGAGACAATCATTTCCAATCAAATGTTTGAATTTGAATAAAATGAGTAACTGAAGAGTAAACGGTAATATAAAATAAGAGCATAACGATTAAAAAACAACAGAAAAGATACTGTCTGGGACTTTGATGACATGTCCAATGCCTTTCCAGAGTGGGGCAAGGTCTCCCTTATACCTCAGGCAAATCTCATCACCCTGCATCAGGCGCATGTCTACAGAAACACAGTGAATAGTAGAAAAAAGAAGGAAAGCGAGGGCAAGGGAATTAGCTGATGAAAGGCACAATTTAGAATTTTTAGATTTTAGGACATTAGTCATACAAACACATAATCGTACACATTCAGACTCAGACTATAAGACACTCCGGCATGCTCGTCAGTGAGGATGCGAGGGAGGTTGTGGCCGGAATGGAATGGACATGGACCACTCGTGGACACTTTGTGACGTTGATGAACAAAAAATGAATTACCACCTGAGTCCGTCTTGGGAAGGCTGAAATAAGCAATCCGCTTTTTATTGAGTCCCAAGTCCCACCTGACAGTTATATTGTCTTGGGTCTGTGAAACAAACAGACAAGACAGCAATTAATTTACCATTTAAAACAAAACTGCCTTTACCTTCACATCCAAAAGCATGAGGAGCTAGCCTGAACACTCCAGCAGAAAACAGCGGAACTTACCTGGGACTCTTTGAGTTTCTTATCGTAGTCGGCCTCCAGTTTGACCAGGGGGCCAAAGATGTTCTGGTACTGGTAGGCATCCTCATAGCGCAGCAACACGTGCTGAGGCTCCTCGTCCACGCCGGGCTTCTCCAGGTCCTCCAGAGTGGCTGTGGGGTTTTCCTGAAGACACCCAGACAGACAGTCAAACAACAGCCATAGATAAAGAGAGTGCTGCTTACTCCGTTTGAGATTTAAAATTCCAAAATAAAAGCCAGTAGCTCTACACGACCAAAGTAAAAGGCCACTGGCCTACAGTAAGCTGCTGGGTTAACTCATGCTAAATGTACATTTGGGAATCGAACCCACAGCCCTGGAGTTGCTAGCACCATGCTCTATCAATTGAGCCACACAGGACCATAAGGTAACTAAGGTAGCTTATGAACCTTCCAGAGCTCCTCCAGCTTGTTTATCTGCTGGGCGGTGATCTGGCGGGCCCGGAGCTGCTCCTGCTCTGAGGGGATCTTAACCAGCCAGGACAGGAAGCAGCGGTCCTGGATCAGCGGCTGCCACTGGGAGCTGTCCCAGTTGATGTCCTTCAGACTGCTCTGACTGGCACATGGCTGCCTGCATTACCAAAACAAACAATACGTCCATTAACGCACTCTACTACAAAATCCCTTTGATTCAATGATAAGAGCAATTGGATTATGGGTCTAAAAAGGGCCAAGAACATTTAGAGAAATATGACAACTGATCATTGTGAAACAGAATGGTACAACGAAGGTTAGTAAACACCATAGATCTGCTTTACCTGCAAAGCAGTACCACCACAGAGTCTGCCTTGGCAGGGATGAAGCCCAGGAGGAAGACGTTGCGACAGCCACAGTTGTAGCACTCCAGCACCGTCTCCCCCAGAGGACCGTCCTTGTGCAGAGTCACCTCCTTGGACTTGGCTCTGACCAGGTGGTTCACAATGTGGCTGAGAGAGAAGAATATGAAAAGATGTATCAACATTTATAAAATGTCCTTTGGGACTCCAAGTCTACATGTGCCTCTTTATGTGTGTGTATAGTCTACCACGTAGACATTTAAGCTACACAACAGACAAGAGCGGGTTGGTTGGTCTTTGAAACTTACCTGCCAGACGTATTGCCACGTCCATTGCAAAACCACTTCTTGCTGGTGTTGCAATACACCACGCAAGCCGGATCGTGAATGCCACAGTAACTGGGGGAAGCAAAACAAGGATAATGTCACAACTGTCAAATCTTTATGGGTAGGAAAACTATTTTTTCTTTAAAAATCTGCAAGACAGCACTATACGATGCATCAAACCTATTTATGAACATTACCTGCATGCATGAACTGGGAGGTCTTTAGTATAATAGCTGTCTTCCTCATCTTCTTCAAAGTTCAACTCTGCAAGAAGTTGACTTGCTTTCACAACAGGGTCATCCCCATTCTGCAGAACTCCATCAGGCCCATTCGCCTGGAGAAAACATGGAAATGTCAAGACAATAGCTGCGGGCAAAATAATGTCAATAACCTGGAAATGGACACCACAGATAAAAAATGTTTTAACTACAAGTGCATTTGACAGCTAGCTAACTAATTTACTATCAAATGTACTTGTAGCAAGCTCACAGCAGCTAGCTAGCATACCTGCTATGTAAAGCAGGCAGATAATGAATTTAAGAATGCTACACTCAGTGCCATGGCGTTATCAAGAAAATGACAGGCTGCTTGACACTCCTGGTGTCCATCCCACAACGAGTACATGCAGATTAGCTCATGCTAACTGCTAAATTATATGTAAACATGCTAGCTAAGCTAACTGGTTAGCCAGCTGCGTGGCCTCTGGGACAGATGCATGTGTTTTCTTTGTAACTATACAGCTACTAGCGTGCTAGCTGTGCTTACATAGCTCCTTCTGCTAAACTAGTTAGCACGCTGGCTGGCTGGCTAGCTAGCTACCTACAAGGTTCCGTATTTACAATACCCTATAGCTTGTTAGCGAGTTTTTACTCGCTAGTTTGAAACCAAACAGGCAACAAAAATTACACGAACCTGGTTGTCCAACTGACTCTGCGTTTGGCCTGTTTGAGTCTGGCTCGGCAGAGTAAAATCCGTGAACTCATACTCCGAACCCTGGGTATCCGCTCCAAGCAACTCCGCTTCCTCCGTGTCCAGGAACGTGAGAGTCTGCGAGCTCGGCCCGTACGCCTCAACACTCATTTTCTCCACCAACAGTGATATTTCAGAATTCTATTTTAAATTCGATAGCTAACTCAGCAATGTGTAGATATTCCTGCCAAAATTAAACGAACAAATATCGAAAAACCTAAGGACATGAATAAACTGAGAACACACGGCCTCGTTAGCCTCAACTCCCACTCGAAGTAATGACGTAACACCTTGCACACCGCACAAAATGCATAGAACACATAAAAGGTCGTTAAATTTGACAAAAGCTGGATCCCTTCTAGCCAGAACCACATTCAAAGAGTGTCCATGGCATGACGTTTACACATAAGGTGAATATTTTTCACAATCCTTGATTAGGCCTACAGTCATAATTTGTTTATCATGAACAGTCATTTAGCATATGCTGTTATCCAGAGAGAAGTTAGGATTAAATGCCTTGCTCAAGGGTCACACTGATAGATTTTTTACCTAGTTGGCTCAAGGTATCAAACCAGCAACCTTTTGGTTATTAACCCAACTCTCTTAACCGCTGGGCTACCTGACGTCTCGCAAATGCTTACTCTTTCCTGATAATATTATGTAAGTAAGATGAAGTTCAATCGAATGCTTTCCAATTGCAATAGATGTAAATGATGAATTCATAGGAAGAAGAGCACATACAGTAGCCTACTATAGGTATACCAATAGTTATTTTACTTGGTCTGGATTAAGTTTATTGGCACATTTTTCTTGAAGTGGTTTAATCACAGCATTAGACCTGTTCCATATTCTGAATTATAAACTGGGTGGTTCAAGCCCTGAATGCTGATTGGCTGACAGCCGTGGTACATCAGACCGTATACCACGGGTATGACAAAACATTTATTTTTACTGCTCTAATTACGTTGGTAACCAGTTTATAATAGCAATAAGGCACCTTGGGGGTTTGTGGTATATTGTCAATTTACCAAGGCTAAGGGCTGGGTCCAGGCACTCCACATTGCGTCGTGCTTATGAACAGTCCTTAGCCATGGTATATTGGCCATATACCACACCTCCTCGGGCCTTATTGCTTAAGTAGAGAATACTGATACCGAAGACAAAATTAACATTTTCATATCATTATTCATCACATTACAAATATTGATTGTATATGCAAAAAATTACCTGAGATAATAACACATGATTGAAGTATATTAATCAAAGAAAACATATTGTTGCGTCCTTATATTGTACACTATACAATATACAGATATTGTACAATTTCACAACAAATATTAAACACATGGCTAGAGATGATACAAGAAATGGCACGCTACATTAACCGTTATGTCAAAGCGAGAGTGATTAGTGGGGGGAATAAGGAAATAAAAAGGGAACTATTTAAAATAGCCAGTCATACAGTTGTCAGGAGGATGTGGCTTAAAAAGCACACCAGTGCACACTGGATATACAAAGATGATTCTCTCATCTACAGCACCGTTCATTGGACCATTACAGTCGCTTTGTGAAATACAGTCAAATATCCATACCCAGAGCCATAGATATACTATATGTGGATACCAGAGGAGGCTGGTGGGAGGAGCTATAGGAGGATGGGCTCATTGTAATGACTAAAGAGAGGGCTATCAGCTTTATCTGTCCTTAAAGCTAGAATCCTTAGTTGCTACATCCATTTCGGGACTTATAAATTAATGCTATATTACCATTGATTCTTGAAGAATATAACTTATAAATGCCTCATGAGCTTAGTTCAACTTTCATACCCCCATCAGAACCCAAAATATAAGCTTATTGTACTCCAATGTTTGTAAACAAACTAAATGTAAACAAACTCTGTATAGCCTCAAAACATGGTTAAAACTATATCATGGATGGTCCTTGAATATAGCTCTGTCTATGAATTTGAAAGTGGTTACATTTCTTCAGGCCCATCCCTCAGCTTTTTACCAAAACAGAGGCTGGGTCTCGGTTTTGTTATTGTTTCAATTACGGATTCCAGCTTTAAGTGCTTTATCTGTCAATTGGGGACAGGAGCAGTGAGTTGAGGACAGAGGTCACCAGAAGTCATTCTTTAGTGAGCGTGCTGATGGTGCTGGTGGCTGCAGTGGTGGTGGTCGTGGTGGTGGTCATCATCCTCAGCTTGACCCACAAGCTCCAGCATCTCCCCCACTACGGCCTGCAAGGCTCTGCCTAGGTCCTGGGCACTGTAGGGCTTCCCCAGAGGAGGAACGTGCACAAACGCTGACCTGCCCTTCCCCAGGTACAGCGACGTGTAGTAGGTGTAGTCACACAGGTATCTGACCGGGACAAAGGTTAAGTTAGGGTTAAAGAGACAACAGAAGACATTAGCTTTTATCAGAATCAATGGATTTGCCATTTAGGTAAATGGGATTTCTGAAGCGGCAACTTCAGATTACAAAGGGATAGATCACCCACATTATTATATAACACTATCTTATCAATACCTATAAAGTATGCTACAATTAAAGATTTTGACGTTCATAGATAGGATACATTTGTAATTTGGGTGAACTATCCCTTTAATGTAGTTTCATTGAAAAACTATGAGATCAAAAATAGTGGCATGTGACAGGTTGAATGAGAGTAGAGTCGAGCACGGCACTCACCGGCCTGCGTCCTTTGATACTGACACTGCCACGCCCAGCCTTGAGGAGTTGACCCTCTTGCAGACCAGGTCCATGTCTATGACTGAATCGATGCAGTCAGGACCACCGTCCATGCAGCACTGAGAGTCTGGACAGAAGCTGCAGTTGTCCACCCGCTTGTAGCCGTGGTTGTGGCCACATTTCTCCAGGGTGACCGTGGTGGCTATCCCAGAGACCCCGACATGGACCACCAACTGTTGACCCATGGAGAAGAGGATGTGTGTTAAATGTAGCCACCGTTAAATGAGTTATACCAATAAAGACTCTACATCATGTCATTAAGGGTTCACCTGCCGAACACTATTACTAATGCCTTTAACCATGCAGTAAAAAAATATACTGTGAGGAACAACACTTGACATTTGCTGTGATTTCCTGTGGCTACCTGTGGCTGATGCTGTTTCCATAGCAATGGCAGTAGACTCTGAACTGCCTGGTACTCCACTGGCACCTCACAGACATATAGATCCACACTCTGACCCAAGCCCAACCGCTCCAGTTCCTGTACACAGAGGAAACAGGAAGTGTGTAAGGAACAACAAACCCTATTTAATTCGATAAAGCTTTATTGTTCCATTTGAGATATTTGTTGTGCCTCATGATTGTAAAAACCGGTTGCTTTTACACCTGTTGTGATAACACTAATTACTATAGTAACAACATTGTATTCATACATTGTTAAATAGTGAAAAGTGATTACTTATTCATTGTTAAGTAATTAAGCATTTGCTGTTATGACAGAAGTGCTAAAGCAGACCATTCCTTATTCCACTTGTGTATTAACATGAAACGCTAATATCCACTTGTGTATTAACATGAAACGCTAATTTCGACTTGTGTATTAACATGAAACGCTAATATCCACTTGTGTATTAACATGAAACGCTAATATCCACTTGTGTATTAACATGAAACGCTAATATCCACTTGTGTATTAACAGGAAACGCTAATATCCATTAGGCCCTACTATGCAATAAAGTAATTATTCTTAAATGTGATACAATTTTGTGTTACTACTCATGTGGAAATCAATGTAAGGTGTTACCAATAAGAATAGACCTCTTAATAATGCACCATACAGAACACGCAACAAACTCACTTACCTGCACTGCCACCCAGCTAGCATTCACGGTGTGATCGCCAAAAGGTTCAAACCCTTAAAAAAAGATAGATGATATTGATAGTCTTTTAAGTCCTCACCTAGTAACACCAGTATACACCAATGTACACGAAGAATAAAAACTATTTTTTATAGCTGCTTATCACTCTAGGCCTATCTAAATGAAAGTCACAATAATCTTGGTCCTCTGTAGCTCAGCTGGTAGAGCACGGCGAGCACGGCGCTTGTAACGCCAAGGTAGTGGGTTCAATCCCCGGGACCACCCATAAACAAAAAATGTATGCACGCATGACTGTAAGTCGCTTTGGATAAAAGCGTCTGCTAAATGGCATATTATATTATTATTATCTTAATTCGAAGTCTAAAGGTTATATCAAGTTAAATATGACCTATTACAACAGCTGACACGTACAGTCAATTGTAACACAATATATGCCAGTGAATGCATGGGTTTTATAGATGAGATGACACTATACTACAATTTCCATTTAAGTTATATCGGAGAAGAGTAGGCTAAGAATATGCTTCTTGTCAACACGAATGTAGCCAGCATCATTCACAATAATATCGCAATAGTATCACGACAAGGCAAAAATGTATCTATAAATGGCTGAATGGCTACAACGATCCATAAATGGCTAACGTTACATTGTCGCCTCTGCCTTGATCTGTCTGTCATAGGTTGGTTTGCTCCTCTGCCTCACCATTACAATTCATACATTTCAACCTGACAGACAGGCTTTGTGAATGTAAGATGAAGATGCATAATACTGTACAGTAGACTGTCAGTAGTTGTACAGTAGTTGAGGAACAATGTCGTTTTCAAGATGACACAATATACAAGTCATTCCAAGCTTTAATAGTCAGGCAACTCATTTTAATCAACAGTTTATAGAGAACTGTCAGCAAACTATAAGATAGTATAGGGTACATAAATCACTTACCTGTCACTATTACCGTCCTTTTAGTCGACATCATTTGTGAGTTATAGTAAATTCAACAAGAATGTAATCTACTCTTTTAAAAACCTGATGAGTTGAGAATTCTTCCTCGATTCTCTTCCGCTATCTATTCATTATTTTTGCAAGAGCTCGAGCGAGCGTTCTCGGTTTTTTCCGGTCCTTCTACGCTGTTGACAACACTAGTCTATACCTCAACATCCAGCCACCTATCACCATCTACTGCAATGGAATTCATGCTCCCCACATAGCGCATGAGCTCATTAACTTGTCCAATTTGGCTTAACCTTTTGTTGAAATGACATATTATAACCGATGTGAAATGTCTAGCTAGTTAGCTGTGCGCGCTAGTAGCGTTTAATCGGCGACGTCACTCGCTCTGAGACTGAAGTAGTTGTTTACGTTAACCCTGTACGGGCGGTGGCTTTTGTGGAGCGATAGATAGCTATGCTTCGTGGGTGACTGATATCAATGTGTTTTGAGGGTTCCTGGTTCGAGGCCAAGTTGAGGGATGGAAGCAAATCTCTGTTATATTGATGCTGTTGACCAGGATCAATCAGTTTTGCTCTGCCAAAGACCATCTATTATATCGACAAGATAGCCCAGTGGAAATACATGTCCTCAATAGTCGACAGTATGAGTCGTAATACCCATAAAGACTAGCGGTCAAACAGGGAAATGGTTCCAATCGTTTTTTCACCATTCATTTTCCCCATAGGGGATTTTATAAACACTTAAAATAAGGTCTGTGTTTCGTGTAGGCTTTCCCTGCCGTGACATTTTGATAACCATGTAAATCTCTCTAGGACAAGGTGACTTTCATCTATATATTCGCCTGTATTTGTTTTTTTCTCCCCAATTTCGTGATATCCAATTGCAATCCAATTACGATCTTGTCTCATCGCTGCAACTCCCCAACGGGCTCGGGAGAGACAAAGGTCAAGTCATGCGTCCTCCAAAACTCACTACTTAACACCTTCCCACTTAACCCGGAAGCCAGCCGCACCAATGTGTCGAAAGGAAACACAGTTCAACTGCGCCACTCAAGAGGCCCACATTACTAAACTTCTATTAGATCAAATAAGCCTCACGTAATTTGACACTCTCTCATAGACCACCATACAAAAAATGGCTTATCTCACGAGGACAGATTTTGGGTGGAGTCAATCCTCCCTCTTCGCCTCTTCCTCTCTGGCTTCTCCAGCTGCTGGGATTGCTGCGGAGAAGGTGGAGGTCAAAGGGGGGTGAGTGTAACCGATGTGAAATGGCTAGCTAGTTAGCGGTGCCCACTAGTAGCGTTCAGTCGGTGGCTTCACTCCCTCTGAGACCTTGAAGTACATATTGATACATTTTTAAAGGCTTTCCAAAGCCACAAGATAGCACATTTTAATTAATTGTTGTTTATTAGGCCTTTCAATTCTTATGTTCAGAATCAGATTGATTTCCCCCATGCATTTATAATCGCTTTATTTGGTAATATTGACACTTTGCCTGTAATAAAATCTAATGTTTTCCCAACTCGCAAAATTGGGACAGCTTCAGCAGAATTGAGCAATCCCAGCCGTAGAAGCCTTTAAAGTCATAGCACCTGGTAGGGTATTCATTGTGTCAGCTATTGTACACTTCAGTACAAGCATGTAAATGTTGTTACATCTCACTTTAGCTCTCATCTTAGTTTTATCACATTTCTGTAAAGCAAGAAATTAATCCGTAAATAGAATTTGAGTGGAAAAATATATAATGAAAAATATTTGTATTATGTTGAAATATTCTTTAAAACCAGCTGGGTTGGTGTTAATGTTTTCATAAAGGCACTCCCATTTTGATATCTGTTTACCATAACAACTTATGGTTTGTATTCAGTCCATACCCCTGTTTCAGGACATGACTCATACATTCTAGCCACTGCCTTCTGAATGCCTGATTCTAAATGCCATGCTGAATATGGATGAAAAAAATAAAAGGCAGTTGTTTCTGTCAAAAATAGGAAGCTTTTGGTTGGTGTTCGTTTTTAATGTGCTGTGAAGAAAGGTGTAATCTATTCCAAAAAAATTGACATCAAAGGGAGATTACTTCACTAACGGAACATCTTTCAATTGATGACATCCTAACCATATGTATTTTGAATTCATTCTATTCTACAAAATCTGATTTTCCCTGAACGAACCATCATAGGCTATTTAATACACCATATAAAGAATGCTGGAAGATTTTTATCTGAATATTGACGCCCACTTATAAACACACACACACACACACACACACACACACACACACACAGTCTTAGTATAGTTAAACACGTACACACAGACACACAGCCCAATCGCCCATTCACCACCCTCGCATCCTTCAACAACCTCAATCCCCTTCCCCCATTCATTCACCTGCTCTTGCGTCACAGCCTATGTCAACGTTGCCATGGAAACAAATGATGCCCTTGCTATTCTGTGGTGCTGATACAGACAGTCTACGGACATCATCCCTTCCTACGGGGGGTTATTGTCTATTATGGCTGCCTAGAACCACCCGCTGCACTGGGCTATTCATAGCAACAGCAGACAGCCATCACCGTATGGGGCTTTCTGTTCTGAGGTGGTATATCTCTCATGTCTTAACCAGCAGGTCTCTGATATTTCTGGGCAGATACACTATATATACAAAAGTATGTGGACACCCTTTCAAATGAGTGCATTCAGCTATTTCAGCCACACTGATTGCTGACAGGTGTATAAACGTCAGCACAAGAACTGTTCGTCGGGAGCTTCATGAAAGGGGTTTCCATGGCTGAACAGCGTCGGCTGGAGTGGTGTTAAGCTCGCCGCCGTTGGACTCTGGAGCAGTGGAAACGCATTCTCTGGAGTGATGAATCACGCTTCACCATCTGGCTGTCCGACGGACAAATCTGGGTTTGGCAGATGCCAGGCGAACGCTACCTGCCCCAATGCATAGTGCCAACTGTAAAGTTTGGTGGAGGAAGAATAATGCTCTGGGGTTGATTTTTATGGTTCGAGCTAGGCCCCTTAGTTCCAGTGAAGGGAAATCTTAACGCTACAGCATACAATAAAAATAATTTTTTTTTTGTCATTTAGCAGACGCTCTTGTATACATTTTTGATTTTGACATTTTTCAATGACATTCTAGACGATTCTGTGCTTCCATTTATGTGCCAACAGTTTGGGGAAGGCCCTTTCCTGTTTCAGCATGACAATGCCCCCGTCCATAGCGAGGTCCATACAGAAATAGTTTGTTGAAATCGGTGTGGAAGAACTTGACTTGCCTGCACAGAGCCCTGACCTCAACCCCATCGAACACCTTTGGGGTGAATTGGAACGCAGACTGCGAGCCAGGCCTAATCTCCCAACATCAGTGCCTGACCTCACTAATGCTCTAGAGGCTGAATGGAAGTAAGTCCCCGGAACAATGTTCCAACATCTAGTGGAAAGCCTTCCCAGAAGAGTGGAAGCTGTTATAGCAGCAAAGAGGGGACCAACTCCATATTAATGCCCATGCTTTTGGAATGAGATGTTCGACGAGCAGGTGTCCACATACTTTTGGTCATGTAGTGTACAATATCCACTGCCATAACCAACAGATGAGCTATACACTGAGTGTATAAACATTAGGAACACCTTTCTAATATTAAGTTGCACCCCCTTTTGCCCTCAGAACATCCTCAATTCGTCGGGGCATGGACTCTACAAGGTGTCGGAAGCATTCCACAGGGATGCCGGCCCATGTTGACTCCAATGCTTCCCACAGTTGTGTCAAGTTGGCTGGATGTCCTTTGGGTGGTGGACCATTCTTGATACACACTGGAAACTGTTGAGCATGAAAAACCCAGCAGCGTTGCAGTTCTGACACACTCAAACCGGTGCACCTGGCACCTACTACCATACCCCATGCAATGGCACTTAAATCACCCTGTGAATGGCACACATACACAATCCATATCTCAATTGTCTCAAGGCTTAAAAATCCTTAATTTTCCTGTTTCCTCCCCTTCATCTACACTGATTGAAGTGGATTTCACAAGTGACATCAATAAGGGATCATAGCTTTCACCTGGATTCACCTGGTCAGTCTATAGGCTACTAACCATTCTAAGAATATTGAGTTGAGTTCTTTGTCAAACATTGGCTGCTAAAAGAACAACATGGTTTCCTCATCCCTCTGCAGTATCTCCTTCCTAATTTCTGTTCAAACCTACCGGGAATTACTTCCCCAATAAAGCACCTCTTAGTTTATTTGCACCAAGCTGTGCAATCACTCTTAGAAATGTGTTTGGATTAGAAGACACAGTATTAATTTATGAGGTCAAATGTTTACATTCAGTGACTGACTGCATACCTAGGATTCCTGAGCCCATGTTTTTTATGTGCCTTGACTTGCTACAATCTATCCTCAGATGTATCCTTGTCTGCTTCTTTATCATCATATATCCTAAACTGGACAGAGCTGTGAGAATGTTGTCATCATATATCCTAGACTAGACAGAGCTATGAGAATGTTGTCATCATATATCCTAAACTGGACAGAGCTATGAGAATGTTGTCATCATATATCCTAAACTGGACAGAGCTGTGAGAATGTTGTCATCATATATCCTAAACTGGACAGAGCTATGATAATGTTGTCATCATATATCCTAAACTGGACAGAGCTATGAGAATGTTGTCATCATATATCCTAAACTGGACAGAGCTATGAGAATGTTGTCATCATATATCCTAAACTGGACAGAGCTATGAGAATGTTGTCATCATATATCCTAAACTGGACAGAGCTGTGAGAATGTTTGGAATTGGAACCACCATAGATCACTTGCAGTAGGCTGACACAATGACACAATGACACAATGACACACACACACACACACACACACACACACACACACACACACACACACACACACACAGACAGACAGAAAGAGTGTGTGTGTGTTTGGGGGTGATAAATGAAAGTTTATAAGTGTGTTCATTCACATACAGCTGTCAAGTTGGCGTGGGAACATTGTCTAAGTTCCCCTAAAGACTGGGCTGGTCAAGAGAGCTGAAGAAACCTTCTGTGCCCCTCCCTAGTTCCTTCCCCGCCCAGTCTCTTTTGGCGACCCTGCGCGTTCTATTTTATGACATCAAACCACAATGCACTGCACTGTTTGCAGTTTACCTAAAGTCTCCATGGCAATATGGACTGGTTCGGCCCTTATTTAAATCAGACCGGAAACAAACGTCATTTTGGGCCAATCTTAGCGCGCTAAAGTGACATAATGGAATTTTTAGGGAGAGAAAGCAACAGAGGGTTGGGTGTGCGCATAGCAGTTGTGCCATCTGTGAAAAGCGTTAGTACGGGCGAGAAGAACAGGAAAAGCCAAGCCACGACTATTGTTTTAGCCTCAGGGATACAGGTAAAGGGAAATAGTCGATTAATTTAATCCGAGTTTGAAGATAGGAACAATACAGGAAATGTAACCTGAACTGTGTGTTTTATTGCCGGAGTTTAACGGTTGAATTTTCTTAGTTTATGCGTAAACTTCAACATACCCTCGTGTGAGGGGTTAGAATGGAAACAACCCTCTACCCTTGTAATGTGTTGAATACTCGAGGGATTTCAAGCCTCTATTCCTACACCAGCATGATGAAGAAAGACATGAGTCTAAACCTGGATGACCAAAGCTCCAATCTGAAACCAAATCTCCGGGACGCAGAGGGAATTCTGAACTCCCCGGACTTGGGACTCTTGAAATTGGCGACTCCGGACCTAGAACGATTGATTATCCAATCGAATGGAATGGTTACCACGATCCCAACCTCTCAGTTCCTCTACCCAAAGTCAGCCAGCGACGAACAGGAATTTGCGGAAGGCTTCGTGAAGGCCCTTGAGGATCTTCACAAGCAGAACCAGCTGAGCGAGGGGACGTGCGTACCGCCGGACAGACTGGACCTTATCGGCTCCAACGCAGCCCCGGTCTGCTTGCCGTCAGATCTGCCAGTGTACACGACGTTGAACGGCTATGGAAATAGCCCACTGGGCACCACAGTGAATTATTCCACGGATACAATTCCATTCCCACCGCCACCTTCTCATCTGATGAGCGCGCATCAACAGGCGGCTGCGGCGGCGCTGTCACGACTCCAGGCGTTGAAGGAGGAACCGCAGACAGTCCCCGACATGCAGTGCTTTGGAGACAGCCCGCCTTTGTCTCCTATTGACATGGACAACCAGGAGCGCATCAAAGCAGAGAGGAAAAAGCTGCGCAACAGAATAGCGGCGTCCAAGTGCCGCAAAAGAAAGCTGGAGAGAATATCCCGTCTTGAAGACAAGGTCAAAAACCTTAAGACTCAGAACACTGAACTGGCCTCCACAGCCAGAGTGCTTAGACAGCAAGTGGCCCAGTTGAAACAAAAGGTTATGAACCATGTCAGTAATGGATGTCAACTTCTCCCAAACCAAGTGCAAGCTTACTAGAGGATAGTGTAGGCCTATGAGGCACCCACCACCATGGGGTTTGTTATCCTCTGGGGATATGGACTAACTGAAACTCAGTAGGCTATTTGCCTTTTCTAATAGAATACAAATTAATTGCTAAAAATCAATTAGAACTGGAACACTATGGGTCTCTCTTAAAAAATGTGGCTATAATTTTGTAGCAAACAGACTAATTTTGCTGCCCTCTTAGGAGGAACATGCACTATCAGCTCTCCAATGGACAATAATACATAGCCAACAAGGATAGCATTATCTGCATGTAAACTGGACAATCTCAATGAGTGCAACTAAACACCAGGATGTCATTGAGTACATGTCATCCACTGTGTAATATATAATGCCTTACTTGTTTACAAGCACTTATTTACCAATGATAAATGTACATTTTATTTACCAAAACATGTCTTATTTTGCATAGTGTCTTTATATTTTCTGCAAATATGAATTGTGCATGTCTTGTAAGCTCTTGTGTTGGCCACAGTAATGTAATGTTGCGCAACTCTGTGTATCTGTCACCATCCATGAATGTAGCCGTCATTGTTGGCCCTATGTAGCCATTTTGAATGGGATTTTACCTCTCAAAGCTGTTTATTAAATTCTATGAATTATTTAATATGTTGTCAAGTGTTATTGTGGACCGACTGTACTTTATTGTCCTATTACACATTGTGCCAGCTATTTATTATAGCCTCTACCAGAGATGGATTATTGTAGAATAGGTGCATATTATTGTTTTTTTCTCAATCCTGTTGTATTACAGGCTTTGTTACATTAGAAGCAAAAGTAAAATAATGCTTGAACTGAACTGCATCCCTCAATGTATTTGATGAGGTGGGTAGCAGTGGGAGTGCTACACTATTATGCCACCTATTGGCTTGATGAAGGTAATATCATTGTCAGTTTGGACCGAGAGGCTACTTCACACCTAACACAAAAATGTGCCTCAAAGACAGATTTGAATAAATGTTGACTAAGTTTCCACGCATACTGCTTTTATGTTTTGTTTATTAATTCCTTGTTTTAGCAAACCTGGAGTTACAGTATTACAGAACAATTCACACGACTAAAACCCAAGAAGAAAACCCCACATTATTTACAGGGGGGAGAGAGGACAGAGGGGAGGAGAGCTAAGAGAGAGCTAGCTGAATTGAACAGATACCTAAGTCAGAGGCAAGTTTACAGCTGTAGCAAAAACACAATCAACAAAAAACAAAAGTTAACCAACGCAGTCAAAATAATAGGACTTGATAAGTACTGATCCTACTTCGAACACTTTTCCCTTTTTGAAAACTGCCACAGTGTAGGCATACATGCCAAATGCTTCTCTATCATTACTACAATATGGCAGGCCTTTTATTCAGCTCTAATAATGTGTCTAACAAGTCTTGTTCTAGCGGGTGTCGTTTTTGGAAAGAAGACTAAGCAAAGCTGTTTAAAGGGTCCTCGCTATGTGGGATCCTTAGGACATCCCTACCCCCCATTGAAGTTTACATTTAAAATGGTTAAGTTTATGGTTAGGTAAGTGTTATGGTTAAAAGGTTAGGGTACGGGTTAAGTTTAGTCTAGGGACGTCCTAAGGATTCCGGATAGCACGAACCCTGCCTAAATCCTTCACGCAAACAGTATTTGTTAAAGACATGCCCTTTAGCAGGTTTGTTGGCTGTTAATATTTTCCATCCAGGAGAGACCAGAAATGGACAAAGTATTGCTCTGAGAGGAATACAGTATTTATTCTGGTATTATTACACCCACCCTAACGGCTTCAGAGTTGGTTTAAAAACATGGAAAATGGACGTAAAAGTAATTCCCATTGAAACAGCTCGTACATTATCATGAGAACATACAGTGGAATGGGAAGTGTCTTCAGCAGGAGTATGTCAACACAAGTTCATTTCAAAGGACATCCTGGTTTTGAACTAATCTCTCTATACAATAATGATACGTTTTTTTTCAACTGTGATAGTGCCCGCAAACAACAATCTATGAAGAACCTAATTCATAAATAAATAAATAATAAATACTGTTTGTAAATATAGATGGTCGTGACAATTGACAAAATGTCTTCATGTGCCTGAGTGCATTTAGTTTGGCTCTAGCTAGGTGTTTTCCTCATGTATATGCCAACAAGCATTTCTCTCTACACTGAAACAGAGCAAAATCACATAAACATGACGTTGAACATGCTTCAACAAAATCATAATTTCCTCCTCACAAAATAAAAAACAAACCATACTGACTGTCAGACATCGGAAAGTGATTGGAACGTGATGTAAAAATTGGTCAGTGTTGTAGCATATGGGTGCAGTAACCCAGTGTCGTTCTGACTGTGTGTGTGTGTTGTACACATGAATAAGAGGTAATTGTGCTGTAGAGTAGCAGTGTTATACACTGACAAGAAATTAGAAGCTTCATTTTCAACTGATCTTCACACATGCTACATTCTTAAAGCAAAACAAACCAGTTTGATTCAGAGGGGCGTGGCCCACAACAGCTTTTACAGAATATCCATGTAAAACATTTTTTATAACAACAACAACATGCACCTCTCACAAAGCACAGATATGTCTACAGAAATGTTGTAATTGTATACTATTTCTTTATATATTTTTGAATTTTAAAATGTATATTAATTATACTCTGAACATTTATAGATACAATTCTTCTCTTATACTTAAAGACACCTTTCTCCATCAATCAATATTTTCTATCAAGGTTAAAAAAATTAAAAATAAATAAATAATAATAAATAAATATATATATATTTAAACAAAAAAACTGGGACAGGGACCAGTACTTAACACATCATCACGTTGTCTTTTTCTTAAATTCAGCAATGATCAAATATTAGAAAATGACCATGATTGATAACCAATATGCATGGGATTTTGGTCGGATATGTTTAAAAACACAATCTCATCCAATTTTTGTTATCACAAATTTGGACCATATCCTCACTCACGCCAATGGATTTGGTGGCTTAATATGTTCGGTCACCAGCCAATCGGGGACATATAAAAAAAACAGCAAAGCTATCGACAGTAAACAGATAATCAGCAATGTGGCCCTTCGAAAAAAGACATGAAATCCTTTCAGGTTCGAGGCCGCAGTAAGGGGAGTCAGAGGAATGTGAACTTTGAACTTACAGTAGAACACCTATGGACCTATGGACTGAAATACGGAATAATGGAGTTTTCAGCTCTTCCATCTAAACACAAACCCATCACAGACCTCTACCACCAGCTGAGGAGGCTGTAGGAATGGGGCGTGTGAGAGGTCAGGTGTGTGTGTGTGTGTGTGTGTATGGTGCGTGTTTAGCAAGCACAGTCCTGGTGGGGGCGTTCGGGCTGCTCGGTGAGCTGGGGCCCCTGTTTGGCCCCTGTGATGGCGGGGTCGGCGTTGTCCAGGCTCTCCGACATCTTCTCACAGATGATGTCCACCAGCCGCTCAAACGTCTGCTTCACATTGATGTTGTCCTTGGCACTGCACTCAAAGTACTCAAAGCCTGCAGAGGAGAGGAAAGCCAGAGATGTCTGATGAATTAAGAGTCATTTGAATCTAACAAGTGATGTTTACTTGTTGTAATCATCAACACTTTACATTAATTTGTCCATATGTCATGAAGTTGCCCCAGAACTACTGGAATGTCATTACTATACTGTACACAGTAACTGCAGATTTAGCCTTGAAAACCCAACCCTAGGCAACAGTGACTAGGGTCTGGTTTCAATTATGGACTCTTTATGGCATAGACCTACATCACTACTTTATCCTCTTAAATAAAATACAAAATAGTAGCTAGCAAGATGGAGATCACAGAGGTTATTTTTAATGAGTGCATTTCACAAGTGGCTAGTTTACATCAACTACCTTCACTAAAACCACTGCAACGGTTTTGCCTGCAATCTTTGGTTTGGCATGTCTGCCTTGTGATTTGTTGGTTGACCTGTCTGTCTGAAGAGGACCCGCACCCAAAAAATGTTTTGTGCCAAAATAAAAAATGTTGGGTGCCAAACAAGAGTCTAGTCACTGTTGCCTACGGCCGGGTTTTCGAGACTACTGCAGGTTAGGAACATAAAACTTGTTTTCTAGTGAAAGGAAACTGGTAACTTGTTATTATTATATTACTGGGTAATTAAGTACAGTGTTCCAACTCACCCAGTTGGTCAGAGAGCTGCCTGCCGCGGTCTGCTGCCACCACCCTCTCATCCTCCATGTCACACTTGTTTCCCACCAGCAGGACCTGGGCGTTGTCCCATGAGTACGTCTTAATCTGGGTGGACCTGAACACACATATACAAAATTGAGTTGTATTAAGGATCCTATCATAACTTTCCAGATACACATTTTTTTTTAGTTCCATGCATGGACCCTCATCCAACAGGCAAAGCTGCTTGATTGGTGCTGTCATTTTTCACCCAGTCATCAAATTATGTAACTTTTGCAGAACATAAATACAATACAAGGCCAAATGTACAGTCGTTGTACACACACACACACTATTGCCCAGTGGTGCCGTACCAGTCCTGCACAGCATTGAAAGAGTCCTCGTTGGTGATGTCATACATGAGCAGGAAGCCCATGGCTCCTCTGTAGTAGGCTGTGGTGATAGTCCTGTAGCGTTCCTGGCCGGCAGTGTCCTGGGAGAAGCACACATTATATCACACAATCAATCATTGTATCATGCACACACGTATACTCTGACACAAAAATAGCCCTGCAGCAGAAGGGCCCTCCAATGTACTACCACATAAAACAATGCACTAAGTTTAACCTCACATCCATCTTTAAACATTGCAGCTGGATATAACAATGAAGTTGTGGATTAAAAAAAGAAAAAAGACAGATACTAACTTCAATATTCCATGTGATGTCTGAAGTGTAGTTACAGTATCAATTTATAGCCAGCACATGCAGCAGTGCAGTATATCAGTGTAAGATTATGTTTTAAACAAGCAGTGAGTTGGCAGTGCGATAGAACAGAACAGTAACATAACACATAGAGAAATGCAATAGCTCTCGAAGCCATTTTCTGATGTGTTTAAGCAAGTTTTATGGGCGTCACCAGGCCATAATGACGCTGCACGTAGGAGAGACAGCAACGGCAGGCGCTTTGGAAAATGAATTGAGGTCAATTTAGGAAAACAAGACACATTTATCAGCATACATGTTTGTTTTTTGGCTTCAGCGATCTTATAACACTGAGACATGGTCATGTTCACAGGATCATATGAATATAAACCCACATTGACAGCATATAATCTTGATTTATTCCATACATGTCAAGCAACATAAATCAAGATAATATCTTGGGAGAGTGGATTTGCTCGCTTTACTAAAATGCGCCTCGGATCTGGCAACTGAGAAAACCGTTCAAATTTCTATAAAAACATGTGGTCAAAAGTTGAGAATGACACAAATATTAATTTTCACAAAGTCTGCTGCATCAGTTTTTATGATGGCAATTTGCATATACTCCAGAATGTTATGAAGAGTGATCCGATTAATTGCAATGTCCCTCTTTGCCATGAAAATGAACTTAATCCCAAAAAAACTTTTCCACTGCATTTCAGCCCTGCCACAAAAGGACCAGCTGACATCATGTCAGTGATTCTCTCATTAACACAGGTGAGAGTGTTGATGAGGACAAGGCTGGAGATCACTCTGTCATGCTGATTGAGTTAGAATAACAGACTGGAAGCTTTAAAAGGAGGGTGGTGCTTGAAATCATTGTTCTTCCTCTGTTAACCATGGTTACCTGCAAGGAAACACGTGCCGACATCATTGCTTTGCACAAAAAGGCCTTCACAGGCAAGGATATTGCTGCTAGTAAGATTGCACCTAAATCAACCATTTATCGGATCATCAAGTACTTCAAGGAGAGAGGTTCAATTGTTGTGAAGAAGGCTTCAGGGAGCACAAGAAAATCCAGAGCTTGCTCAGGAATGGCAGCAGGCAGGTGTGAGTGCATCTGCACGCACAGTGAGGTGAATACTTTTGGAGGATGGCCTGGTATCAAGAAGGGCAGTGAGGAAGCCACTTCTCTCCAGGAAAAACATCAGGGACAGACTGATATTGTGCAACAGGTACAGGGATTGGACTGCTGAGGACTGGGGTAAAGTCATTTTCTCTGATGAAATCCCTTTACGATTGTTTGGGGCATCCGGAAAAAAGCTTGTCCGGAGAAGACAAGGTGAGCGCTACCATCAGTCCTGTGTCATGCCAACAGTAAAGCATCCTGAGACCATTCATGTGTGGGGTTGCTTCTCAGCCAAGGGAGTGGACTCACTCACAACTTTGCCTAAGAACACAGCCATGAATAAAGAATGGTACCAACACATCCTCAGAGAGCAACTTCTCCCAACCATCCAAGAACAGTTTGGTGTCGAACAATGCCTTTTCCAGCATGATGGAGCACCTTGCCATAAGGCAAAAGTGATAACTAAGTGGCTTGGGGAACAAAACAACATTTTGGGTCCATGGCCAGGAAACTCCCCAGACCTTAATCCCATTGAGAACTTGTGCTCAATCCTCAAGAGGCGGGTGGACAAACAAAAACCCACAAATTCTAACAAACTCCAAGCATTGATTATGCAAGAATGGGCTGCCATCAGTCAGGTTGTGGCCCAGAAGTTAATTGACAGCATGCCAGGGCGGATTGCAGAGGTCTTGAAAAAGAAGGGTCAACACTGCAAATAGACTCTTTGCATAAACGTAATGTAATTGTCAATAAAAGCCTTTGACACTTGGAATGGAATGCTTGTAATTATACTTCAGTATACCATAGTAACATCTGACAAAAATATCTAAAAACACTGAACGACTGTAGGTCTAGGTGAGCATGTGTCATCAAATCCTCAAACTGCATTTTTCAAGAAACAGTAATCATAATCCTTATAATGAGAATCTCTCTTGTGTATAAAGGTAGCACCCTAGATCAGAGCTGTGTGCGCTGTTCCATAGCGAGGTCTACTCTGATAAAGGGGGTGGATGCAGATGCCTCACCATGACGCACGTAGTGTCACAACCAATCTTCTTCAGAACTAAACATATTCCTCACAGGAGCCACAGACAGACAGAGCGAGAGAGAGAGGGAGAGAGACTGGAGACACAAACCTCCTGCAAGTGTACCGATACTGCTCCTCTCTGCCCCCTCCGCTGTCATAGGCCTCAAATGGAGATGAGTGCAGGAAAGTATAGAGGTCTGACTGGCCAAAATCCTAAACAAACTCACCCCCTAAAAAAGCGTAACTTTCAAGTCTAGCCTATTGTCATGGGATATTTCCCATACAGTCGTCTCGTCTCCCCCCCCGACTGTATAGCGTATTGATATCAAACTTGGAGAACTAGCCTACTTGCCTAGACCTTTGTGCTCATTCATATTTCATAAGGTAAAATAGTTGTCACCAACCCTGGTCCTGGAATGCTACAAGTTACGTAGGTTTTTGTTCCAGTCCAGCTCTAATACACCCGATTTAACTGATCATGCTCTTGTCAAGAGCCTGCACACCTTGTACAGTAGCACTCCAGGACCAGGGTTGGGGATTAGATACCACTGCGGTTGAATCTGTCAATGTCTGTTCTTCACCCAAACTAGCCGACTACATATCCATTAGATGAGGTAAATGTGTAATTTGTATGACAGTAATTTGTATGCACGCATGACGGTAAGTCGCTTTGGATAAAAGCGTCTGCTAAATGGCATATTATTATTATTATTATAATTTGGTGGAGCAATCCCTTTAAAGCAAGAATACCCCTAATAACATACATGAGCTCATTTGTGTTCAACAGAGGGATGATTGAATCAGTTAAGGTCAGTGTCTTACCCAGATCTGCAGCTTGATCCTCTTGTCGTTTCTGTAGATGGTCTTCACCTTGAAGTCGATGCCCACCGTGCTGACGAAGGCCGGTGTGAATGAGTCGTCTGCGTAGCGAAACAGGAAGGAGGTCTTACCCACACTGCTGTTGCCAATGATCAGGATCTTGAACATGTAGTCAAAGTTCTGGTCTGAGGTCTCCTTCTGTCCATAGGTGGCTGTTGCGGAGGCCATCTTTGGAGGGAGAGAATGACGACAAATTGAATTAATGCCTTTGTTGCCCATTTAAAATAGAAACATTTCTTCAGTCAAAATGGCAGATTTATCCATTTGCGTTGTCAACAATCAGAGGATCGTTTTTTAGAGAAATCCATGAGCACCTCTTTGGTAAATATCTGAGGAAATGGGCAGGTAAGTAGAACTACCAAATGATGATCACTCATCCCACCCATATCCAACATCTACTGTCTCTATGAAAAATAGCTACATCAAAATATGCCAGCATGTTTTGACATCAAACTAATAACTATGGAGTAATTTTTCTAAACGCTTCCAACAGCAGTGGTCAATAGAATGAGTAATATAATCTAACACCTCCCTGGGAAAGGGACAGACAACAATCAATAAAAAATGTGTGTCAGATCATACTGATTGATGTTGACTATGTTCAATGAGCCATAAAGCCTTTTAGTGAATGATTGACATGAGATTACAGTCACACCCTTCAAATGTATTTAATACACTAAAGATAAGGATGTTTTAAAATAGCCTACAGCAATATATTTTTGTGGAAGGCTATGGAATGGTACAACATATTGAATTAAAACCAAAATAAAAGTTGAATTTGGAAATAGGCGTATGCTTTGATTCTATGGCCAATTACAGTATTAAGGACCCATATCCACATCAGTGTGATTTCGATGGCTTGAATGTCATTGCATATCCTTGCTTTTCAAGAATCTAAAATGCAACTAGATTTCATTGAGTAATACCATAATAATAATTTTGACATTGAAAATGTGGACTCCTCCCAGATCTGATAATACAGGCATCTTTGATTGTTACTAACGGAGGTGAGGTCAGGCCGAGCCTACTTTCAAAGAAATCTATCCACTAAAGCACAGGATCAAAACTGATTGACCCTCATAACATTTCCATAACACTTATCTTGAGAGGTGAGAGTCTTGTAAACATCATATGTGTCCTGTGGCGCTGTATAGTCAGTCCCTGCACATTCTAGTGCGCTTATAACGTTTAAACAGAAAGAAACGATGCTGTAATAATCTTTATATCTTTCATAGTAAAGCAATGTAATGAAAACAGCATTTTGTTATAAATAAACGTAGATAGATAGTCATTGCTCCGACATTTCAGACAGTGAAAATCGCCTATGCGCACCCAGACCAAGATAAAGGAGGCGGAAACTGCGGGGCTTAGGCAAAGCGTCCGCTAAACTGGCTAACCAGCTATGGCTGGGTCAGTGGGTGTCTTGAGAATATATTTTAGCGCATGTCGTATAATTGAATGGACAGGGACATGCATTTACATCAGGCGGTTTGACTTGACATTTGCTATGGTCAATGTATGTAGATAATTGTACTTACATGGGTAAGCGGTCTTGGTCACCGGGAGATCAATTAGGCTAAGACCAACCCATTGGGTCGCCACTGTTTAGCTAGCTAGCTATCTGGCTAGTAAAGACGCCTATCTAGCTAGCCAGCCAGTTGCTACTGCTATCCTCAAGCTTGTTAGATGGGGCTCGAATGGCTCGCGCACCATTCAATGGGAAGAAAAAACATACTTCTAAATATGTTTATTTCCCGAATAACAGCTGCTGCTGGTCATTCAATAGGATTGCTGTTGTAATGGCAGAAAAACTAGGCTACATTCTGTTAAACAGCCGCATTGACAGCATTTTCACCCAATGAAAATACACGGCTCCCTGCAATTAGGCTTAGCTAGCATCCTAGGCTATTGATGCTAGCGAAGCATCCTAGCCTCGCTATATGTCAAATGAAGGTTATTCTTCCTTATTTTGCGACTAAATTTGTCCTCTCCATTCTTTGATTTACATCTGCCAACATAATCGAACACTTTCTAGTGCTATTATAATTTGTTTAAATGCCTCGCAAGATAATACAGCTTGCGGCTTACCGTGAAATGTCTGTTTTTATCTGCAGCTCCGTCGCAGCAGTACCCAGTGTTGCACCTGCAGAAGCTCGGGCGTCACTTGATTGACTGTCACCGAGGGGGCGGGCTCAGAGTAGAGCTAGAGGATTACTGGCAGTCTTGAATACCAATCGAGACTGTTTACGCTCACTGAGCGTTCTAGGGCCCACCCACCAACACCTCTCTGAAAGGTAATCCATTATTGAGGGGACTAGTTATGGATAAAGGTAAAAATCGATTGTCAAATAATTATTTCCTGATTCATAAAAAATATGTTGCCACCTATCCCTTCAAATCAAATCAAATGTTATTTGCCACATGCGCCGAATACAACAGGTGTAGACCTTACAGTGAAATGCTAACTTACAAGCCCTTAACCAACAATGCAGTTTTAAGAACAAAAAAAGTGTTAAGTAAAAAATAGATAAGTAAAAAATAAAAATAGAAAATAATTAAAGAGCAGCAGTAAAATAAAATAACAGTAGGGAGGCTATATACAGGGGGTACCGGTACAGAGTCAATGTGCGGGGGCACCGGTTAGTCGAGGTAATTGAGGTAATATGTACATGTGGGTAGAGTTAAAGTGACTATGCATAGATAATAAACAGAGTAGCAGCAGCGTAAAAGAGGGGGTGGTGGGGGGCAATACAAATAGTCCGATTAGACATGATTAGCTGTTCAGGAGTCTTATGGCTTGGTGGTAGAAGTTGTTAAGAAGCCTTTTGGACCTAGACTTGGCACTCCGGTACCGCTTGCCGTGCAGTAGCAGAGAAAACAGTATATGACTAGGGTGACCATTTTTAGGGCCTTCCTCTGACAACACCTGGTATAGAGGTCCTGGATGGCAGGAAGCTTGGCCCCAGTGATGTACTGGGCCGTATGCACTACCCTCTGTAGTGCCTTGCGGTCGGAGGCCGAGCAGTTGCCATACCAGGCGGTGATGCAACCAGTCAGGATGCTCTCGATGGTGCAACTGTATAACTTTTTGAGGATCTGAGGACCCATGCCAAATATTTTCAGTCTCCTGAGGGGAAATAGGCTTTGTCGTGCCCTCTTCACGACTGTCTTGGTGTGTTTGGACCATGATAGTTTGTTGGTGATGTGGACACCAAGGAACTTGAAGCTCTCAACCTGCTCCACTACAGCCCCGTCGATGAGAATGGGGGCGTGCTCGGTCCTCCTTTTCCTGTAGTCCACAATCATCTCCTTTGTCTTGATCACGTTGAGGGAGAGGTTGTTATCCTGGCACCACACGGCCAGGTCTCTGACCTCCTCCCTATAGGCTGTCTCATCGTTGTCGGTGATCAGGCCTACCACTGTTGTGTCATCGACAAACTTGATGATGTTGGAGTCGTGCCTGGCCATGCAGTCATGGGTGAACAGGGAGTACAGGAGGGGACTGAGCATGCACCGCTGAGGGGCTCCCGTGTTGAGGATCAATGTGGCAGATGTGTTGTTACTTACCCTTACCACCTGGGGGGCGGCCCGTCAGGAAGTCCAGGATCCAGTTGCAGAGGGAGGTGTTTAGTCCCAGGGTCCTTAGCTTAGTGATGGACTTTTAGCTAAGGACCCTGGGACTAAACACCTCCCTCTGCATCTGGATTCTGGTATGACTGTATTTTGAATAAGTATGTTTTGATTTAGAATTATTGTCCTATAGAAATACGTTCAGATAAACATATGTCATCTGAATTGTGTTGAAAAAAAAACATGCATATCATTGCAGCATTCCATGGTCAACGTTATTCCCAATAAGCATCCATGATGTCAAAAAGCATGAAGACTTCTTTATTGGCAAGGTGGACAGGCGTACAGTTACAGTAAGAGCATTGGAACCCATAGTAAACAGTTGTGTTTGGATAGTCGAGACTGCAGACTGAATAGTTCTGGTCAGGAGAAAAACATAGGAACAACGTGCCTGAAACTCAGAGGAATCTCCTACTCTACTGATGTTATCGAGAAAATGTACAGTTATGAATATAACTACTGTTCCCTGAAGGAAGGAACAAGGTATAACATACTATGTGGGGTCAACGACCAATCCTATTCACCTGAAGCAAACTGAAATCAAGCCCAACGGGCCAATGAATGCAGAGCCCGCCCTCGGAAGCTCGCATACATTTCCTAAATTCAGTACTGCTCATCAGCGAGCCCAAACCCCCTGATGGCATGGGGTTAAAATATGTCATACCTCGTTCCCTCCTTCAGGGAACAGTAGTTATATTCATAACTGTAAGTTCCCTTTCAGTCAGTCACTCGGTATAACATACTATGGGGACATACAATCATGCCCCAAGCCGGCTCAGAGGGTACCGAACGGTAGCCCAAGCACACAGGTTCCACCGGCTCCAAAATGGGTTTACAGAAGTCACCTTTTTCTCTGATACTTACCCGAGAAGCCTGAACTGTCAGAGCCCCATATAGGGACCTAGAACCTGCTGCAACTTGGCTATGCGCACTGACAAGCTGCCACTGCAGCCCAAGTCCATAGACCCCACAGTTCCAAGAACAATACTTACCTTGCAGGCCTGAAATGTCAGAACTCGTACAAGGAACCGCAAGCCCAAAACAACAGAACACCTGTCGTGACTCTGTAAAGCGCACGCGCACAATGAACCAAGGCAGCCCGCGTGCTGCCACAGCAGCCCAAGGCTCAAACCCACAAGGAAACTGTGGTAACCCGGACAAAACGCTGCCTAACATTGACCACGGAGGCCCAAGTCCATAGACCCTCGTGCATAGCCGCAGGAAAAAAAATTGGGGGTGGGGGTGCTGCTATTCTGTCACCGACGGGACAGTCAGCTAATACAGGACTAGTAAAAGGCCCAGTGCACTACTTTTGTGAAGATAAAAATATATATAATTATTATTCTGATTTTTCAAGGGGTGCTGCAGCACCCTCAGCACCCCTACTTCCTGCAGCTATGCCCTCGCGGTTCCAAAAAGTCTCACACAGAGACCCAAGGAGTCTGGAATGCCAGAACTCACACAAGGAACCAAAACAACAGGGCACCTGCTGTGACACTTTGGAGTCTAATAGCACGTGGAAATCCCCAACACGCTTGGCTGACGCCAAGGCCATGAGCAGGGTAGTCTTGTAGGAAAGGACCTTCAGGTCTACAGACTCCACTGGTTAAAAAGGAGGCTTACTCAATGTGGAACCGCACCACCAGTGGATGGGACCCCGGGGTAGAGCCGTCAATCCCTACATGACACGCCGAAATGGCTGGCATATAAACTTGAATATGGAAAAAGAAAGGCCCTGCTCAAAAATCTCTTGCAAGAACATCAGAAACTCCTTTAACCTGACACCAAACCTCAAACACGCGCCACTTATGTGTATACAACCCTCTCCTAGAGGTCGCATATGCCGACTGTAGTCATAATCACGTTTGAGGGTGAACCCCTAGTCCTCAAATTCAACCTTTCAGGAGCCAAACCGACAGATCAATGTCTGTGGTCGTGGGTGCCAAATTCTCCCATGCACCTGCGACAATAGATCCTGACGACACGGAACCCCTCCACGGGTCCCCACCTAACAGGCGGATGATCTCCGGGAATCAGGGTTGTCTGGGCCAACGGGGAGCCACCAGAATCTGAATGAGTTTCCACCCCAAGCAAGCAGGACAGCACTCGTATCTTTACTTTTTATTGTGAAACCACATGCCCTAGGGCATGGTCAGAGGTTCACACTCGGCTGGTTAGGCTTTTTGAACTTCCTCCTACCATTGGCCATCTTATTCAAGCAACGGAGTGCTGGCTACACAAGCAGAGCACAAAGTAGTTTGCTTTTAGCAAACACAAAAATTGATACCAAGACCCAAAACTCACAACATCTAGGTGGACGAGTCTATCCCCACTAACAGACACCTAAGACGGCGCCGAATCTCGTAGCCTTCATGTGCTTGAAAAATTGTAAATTGCGTGACACGTTCTTCCTTCAGGCGAGCTGAAGAGCGAAGAATTTAGGAAATGTTTGCGAGCCCCCGGTATTATAGCCAGGAAGGCGGGGCTTCCGAGGGCAGGACTCGGCATCTATTGGCCCGTTGGGCGTGATTTCAATTTGTTCAGGTGAATAGGATTGGTCGTTGACCCCACATAGTTGTTATACCGAGTGACCGACTGAAAGGGAACCGGAAACTTTGAGTATTTCTGCTTTCTTTTATGGCAGACATAAGGAATAAAACATTTGGTTGAGTACCAGAGGAGGCTGGTGGCAAGATCTATAGGAGGACGGGTTCATTGTAATGGCTGGAATGGAATCAAACACTTTTACATTTTAGTCATTTAGCAGATGCTCTTATCCAGTTAGTGAGCGCATGCATTTTTTTCTCTCATACTGGCCTCCCGTGGGAATTGAACCCACAACCCTGGCGTTGCAACGCCATGCTCTATCAACTGAGCTACACGGGGCCGCTGTTCCAATCATTCCATTCCAGCCATTACAATGAGCCAGTCCTCCTATAGCTCCTCCCACCAGCCTCCACGGTTGAGCACTGTAGTTGAAATCTGTCCCATTCTTTCTCCCAAAGCTCGGAAGGTAGCTACAAATAAATACTCAGCCTCCGACAAAGTCTATAGTTCTTCATTTTCGGACAGATATAGAAATAATAAATAAACTGTACACAAAGCATTGTGAGGAAAAGATACAAAACAATCCATGGTAGACAGAGAGCATAACTGAATCCTCATGTGAAAATACTGTCATAACAACGGCTGGTGAAGACATTTTGCATGACAGCTGAGGAAGACAGAAAGGCTTGCTTGAGTTCTGAACTCTTTGTGCTCCTTAACTACTGTGTGCATGGCACTGGTGTCTCCCCACCATATCTAGTATACAATCTATGAGGAAAGTAAACTTATGCAAATATAAGGCTCCAGAAAGTCACATTTCTGGATCTTTCGTAAAAACACAAAAACACATTTCCTCCACGGTGTAGGTTCAAAAGTTTGTGTTTCGTCCACAGATTAGCTTATTTTAGATACTTGAATACTTTCCTTATGAATCAGCCAATGTCATGCATCTTTGTCAAAACATTTTGCAGTTACAAAAAAAGGTTTAATTCCATAACACAAGTCCCCCAATTTAGCTTCAGTGGTCCAGTCTGTGCTATGCATCAATTGGAATAATCAAGCCACATAATATCAGAATACGGAATACTAATGTGGATTAGTCAACAGAGTTACATCACACTCGACTGTCCTTGAAGCACGGACTTATAAAAGTACTGTAGAAAGTGCTTTGGTTTCTTTACAAATTCAATCAATCTAAATGTCCAACCATTCAAACATTAAGACAAGTACAGTTATCAGTGGATTATTGTTCTGAAACAGAAAACCTATGGGTAGAAAGGGTACACAGGGAGGGCGACATGATCAACATTGCTGTCAGTCAGTCATTGGTGGAAATTAGCCAGGGGCAAAATGGAAATTACAGTACGAGTTGTGTCATGCTTGCTTGGCACTTGTACTGTCATTGGCGATGTCCCCGTGAAGAGCAGAATATTGACCAATGACAAAAGGAAAAGGGAGTCAAACTTCCGGCACAGAAAACTGGCCCATGGCCAACGGTCTTTTTTTTTTTTTTACAGTTACAATTGCGCTTGAGTGGCACATCATTCACACATCTCTGAAATAGTTTGGCAAATATTACATCATTTTCTTCACAAACCAAGATAACATATGTAAATGCTACCAATGTATCTTTTTTTAATAGTTCAACTGGTTGACAGTGTGACCAGATGATGGTACCTGAAGTTAGTAGGAAACGTGAGACCTGTACTGTAACAACAATAACAGACTTGAAAGGACATTGTAGAGTTTGGCTCATTGTCCTGTGTGGCTCACTTGGTAGAGCATGGCCCTTGCAACCCCAGGGTAGTGGGTTCGATTCCCACAGGAACCAGTATGAAAATGTATGCACTCACCACTGTAAGTCGCTCTAGATAAGAGCGTCTGTTAAATGACGCAAATGTGTTTATGGATTGCCTCAAGCCCTTTCAAGCAGGATGGGGATTGGCTGTGAGTGAAATTGTGGAGGCAGACTGATGCCATAAAAAGGTTAAGGATAAAGCAGTATGCATACACTTTGAGGGACTTCAAATAAGGAAAAAAAACAAAATCTTAACTGAATTGCTTGTTTTGGATACCCCTGCCTACAACAGCAACACAGCTAAAACCAATCCATTTAACATTCCTATAGTCAATTTACTGTAGGTATGGGCATTTTGAATGTCTTGAATTGCAGTACACGTTCAGACTTTAATTCCGATATTCAACACTGGGAGGTGCCAGGTGCACACCGCATAGCTTTTGGTTACTTATATGACCCTATTAGGACTGGCTCAGGGTTGGTTTTGTTGGTTTACACGTAACAGTTCAGGTTAGGACTGTGGAAGGAAGAACTGACCCTAAATCAGTTGTTAAGAGTGTGACTGATGAGAGACCCCCAGCGAGGCACCCAGTTGCTGTTACAACAGAGGTACCCAAAAAGTATTGTGCTACATTTAAACATTCTCTTCCTCAAGCCATTCTGAGGTCCTGCTCTGTACTTGGTCCTTTGTAGGTCAAATTTGGTAAGGTCTGCAGTTTACCGGTTTAAACCACTTTCTGCACTAGTTTAAATGGACTTAAATTAAAGACCAAACGACCAGCAGTTGAAAAGGCAGGCAAATATTGCCATTGGCCAAGTCCCTGTTTATTAATCTGTTTGGTATAATGTGTCAAAAGCCTTTGTGGTGTTTGTTGTTACTAAGTTCATCGCTTCGTCAATTGTTTCAAGCGGTCATAAGTAGTGAAAAGGAAGACGTGTTCCGCAAAACTCCTCGCTCTTTTGTCGTAGGTTGACTGGCAAAACAGAAAGGTTGGTTTTCTCAGTGTCTCTGAGAAACATAAGACGAACACAACACATGTCCAACTCAGAGACGTATCGGTAAAACACAAAAGACCAGCTCAAAAACACAGTTTCCTGTTCTCCGCAACCGAACGAGAAGGAACAGTGGGGCTCTCCTCTCTCCAGTACAAGTTGATTGCTGTGTAAGTGCAGACTTCCTGAACGCACCCCCTCTACGTTCTCTACCCCAGCTTTGTCCTGCCATTCAGTCCAAGGAAGCCAGAGATGGGGGTTGAAGGGGTCAGGGGTGAGGTGCAGAAATTCAACAAAAAAACAAAAACAAAAAAATTACATTGCACTGATGTTATGTACCTAGCTTGAAGCGCCTCACACCGGCGTTACCTTCTTGGTCATGTTCTCTGTCTTCGGCGGCCTCTCTTTCCGGGTCAGAGTCTGTGGACAAAGTCCTGCCACCAAGATTGAGGACAGAGGTGGCCATTTTGGAGAGTACTTGCAAGTGTGGGTGAGCAGTGGCAGACACGGAATGGAGTCTGCTGTCCGGGTCAGTCCTAGAAGGCTCCATCCCAGTGCTACTGTACCCCTCCTCTTCCGGAGGGCTCTCTGTGTCGGACTCGCCCTCCTCCTCCTCTAGGGTCAGCTCAAACTGGAACTTGTCTCCTGTGGAGGATCCACCTCCACCCCCTCCGGCCCCCATGGCTCCCCCAGGCAGGCCCACCTTATCCTGGGCCTCTGGGGTGGGCGAGGGGCTGTGGGGGATCATGCTCTGGTACCACTCGCGATTGTCCTCCAGCGTGTCTAGGATGTCCTGGGCATCAGGGTGGACCAGGTCTGCCCACGTCTCCCACAGAGGGTGGACAATGTAGTCTATGAAGCCCACCTGTAGGGGAAGAGGAGTATAGTCATTTACATATTAGCAAAAGAGGCAGAATTTTAAAGCCCAGACTGTGTGTTTGTAGAGGAGGTGAAAAATCTGTCGATGTGCCCTTGAGCGAGGCACTTAACCCTAATTGCTCCAGGGTCACTGTCCGTAATGGCTGATCCCTGGCCGTGACCCCACTCTCCGAGGGTGTCTCAGGATATGCAAAAAAACTAATTTCCAATTCACACGAGTATAATACACACTTGTACATGTAAGAATCCACATTATTATAACTATTATAATTATTATTGTGTGTGTGTCTCTCCTCTGCATGTGTACATTGTGTGGGCATACTGTACTGTATGTGTCTTAGTGCCTGTGTGTGCAATAACTGTACCTGGTTCTTCTCGATGGAGGCGTTGTGTTTGTCACACATGGGGCTGATCTCCATGCCCTTGTCCCTTTCCCTGTCCCCCTGGGTGAAGAACTCCACCATGATGCGGTCAGTCCACTGGCGGTAGACCTCCAGGGGCTTGGTCGGGTTACTAAGGTCTGCACAGTGAACCATGTTCTGGAGGACCTAGAGAAACCAAAAACAGTTCTTATTGAGCATCAAGGAAATTAAATGACCATACAATCATATGACAATAATATGGTCCCAATGGTTCTGTTGGCTGAAGCAGGGTGCTGTCAGTCAAAACCAGTGTTTTGAGTTCAATTCCTAAATATGCCACATACACTGAATTCATGTGGTAATTGTACGAAGCTTTGGATGAGGCTCAGAATAAATTAGAGGAAAAACAAAAAGAAATGGAGAAACTTATTCAAGAAAGATCAAGTGTAATATATTATAAAAAATAAAGCAAACTGGATGGAATATGGGGAAAAATACACCACATTTTTAAAAATCTTCAACATAGAAATGCTACCAAAAATAATTTACTGAAACTGGTTACAAATGACGGAGTCACCCATGATTCACCGAATTATATTTTGAAGGAGGAAGCAAAGTACTTTAAGCATATTTTTTCGTTTCAGTCGCCTCTATCTCCTCTAACTGAAGCTAATTGTAGGGATTTTTTTTCTATTGATAATGTAAAATTAACAGCCATACATAAATACTCATGTGAAGGTGAAATGACAGAGGAGGAACTTCTGGATGCAATTAAAGACTTTAAGTCCGGGAAAATTCCAGGGTAGGATGGCATACCAGTCGAGGTATAACAAACCTTTTTTGATATACTCAGAGGACCGTTATTAGCATGTTTTAACCACTCCTATGTAAATGGTAGATTATCAGACACTCAAGAAGAAGGTCTGAATTTCATTATTACTGAAACAGGATACTGTCACGCCCTGGCTCTGGGGAGTCTTAAATGTTGAGCCAGGGTGTGGATTTAGTAAGATTGTCTCACCCCATGTTCAAGAATGGCCTTTTCCCCTTTATTCAGATTACAACCTCTCACTTTCAGTTATTTGAAAAGGAAATAATCTCCCAAATATCACTATTTCTAAAACAAGCCATAGAAAGTTGGTTGCAATTTCAATTTAATCCTCCAGAAACGACAGAACAAATAATGCAACAAATATTGTGGTTAAACTGAAATATACTAATTGATTAAAAATATATATTTTTTGAAGAAATTTAAAAAAAAGGTGAAATCTTCGTAAATGATATCATATGTAGGACTGGTGGAGTTATGTCGCACATGCGGCTAACAAAAACACAAAATTCTAGGCAGAGTTACAAAGAAAAAGCCATATCTCAGACTGGCCAATAAAAGATGGGCAGTCTGAGATATGGCTTTTTCTTTGCAACTCTGCCTAGAAGGTCAGCATCCCGGAGTCGCCTCGTCACTGTTGACGTTGAGACTGGTGTTTTGCGGGTTCTATTTAATGACGCTGCCAGTTGAGGACCTGTGAGGCGTCTGTCTCAAACTAGACACTCTAAGTATTTGTCCTCTTGCTCAGTTGTGCACTGGGGCCTCCCACTCCTCTTTCTATTCTGGTTAGAGCCAGTTTGCGCTGTTCTGTGAAGGGAGTAGTACACAGCGTTGTACGAGATCTTCAGTTTCTTTGCAATTTCTCTCATGGAATAGCCTTCATTTCTCAGAACATGAATAGACTGACGAGTTTCAGAAGAACGTTTTTTGTTTCTGGCCATTTTGAGCCTGTAATCGAACCCACAATTGCTGATGCTCCAGATACTCAACTAGTCTCAAGAAGGCCAGTTTTATTGCTTCTTTAATCAGCACAACAGTTTTCAGCTGTGCTAACATAATTGCAAAAGGGTTTTCTAATGATCAATTAGCCTTTTATAAAATGATAAATTTGGATTAGCAAACACAACGTGCCATTGGAACACAGGACAGATGGTTGCTGATAATGGGCTCTGGGGACTCTTAAATGTTGAGCCAGGGTGTGGATTTTCTATGTTTAGTTTTCATTGTGTTTGTTCTAGATAGTTTAGATCCATGTTGGCCAGGGTGGTTCCCAATCAGAGACTGCTGTAGCTCGTTGTCTCTGATTGGGGACCATACTTAGGCAGCCTGTTTGGCACTAGTTTAGTGTGGGATCTTGTTCCGTAAGGTTTTGTGTATAACCTAGGACTTCACGTATCGTTTGGTTTGTTGTTTTGTTCGTGTTGTGTACTGAAATAAAATGTGCGCTTATCACGCTGCGCCTTGGTCCGTGTCTTCCGGTAACGATCGTAACAGATACAAGTGAGAAATATAAAGAGCCAGTCCATTAACAAATTTGGAGGACCCTTACACTTCAGTGTTGTGATGCAAAAATTCTAGCAAAATGTATAGCGCATAGAATTAAAAAGGTATTGTCGGACATTATTCATTCTAATCAGACAGGTTTTTTACATGGACGATACATTGGAGATAATATAAGGGAAGTACTGGAAACAATAGAACACTATGAAAAATCTGGGAAACCAGGCCTGCTATTCATAGCAGACTTTGGAAAGGCATTTGATCAAGTACGACTGGAGTTTATATATAAATGCCTGGAGCATTTAAATTTTGGAGAATCTCTTATAAAATGGGTTAAAATCATGTATAGTAACCCTAGGTGTAAAATAGTAAATAATGGCTATTTCTCCGAAAGTTTTAAACTTTCAAGAGGAGTAAAACAAGGTTGTCCACTATCGGCATATCTATTTATTATGGCCATCGAAATGTTAGCTATTAAAATCAGATCCAACAATGATATCAAGGGATTAGAAATCCAGGGCTTAAAAACAAAGGTGTCATTGTTCTCTGATGATTCATGTTTTCTTTTAAATCCACAACTTGAATCCCTCCACAGCCTCATAGAGGATCTAGATACATTTTCTAACCTCTGGATTCCAACCAAATTATGATAAATGTACTATATTACGTATTGGATCACTAAAAAATACAATTTTTACATTACCATGTAGTTTACCAATAAAATGGTCTGATGGTGATGTGGATATACTCTGAATACATATCCCAAATGAAATAAATGATCTCACTACAATACATTTTAATAGAAAGTTAGCAAGATCTTGCTACCATGGAAAGGTAAATACCTGTCTATTTGTGGAAAAATCACCCTGATTAACTCTTTAGTATTATCCCAGTTTACCTATTTGCTTATGGTCTTGACTATGCCTAGTGAACAGTTGTTTAAAATTATATGATAAAAAAATATTCCATTTTATTTGGAACGGCAAGCCAGACAAAATTAGACGGGCCTATTTATATCATGAATATGAATTCGGAGGACAGAAATTATTAAATATGAAAGCATTAGACCTATCACTAAAAGCTTCAGTCATACAAAAGTTTTACTAAAATCTGCACTGGTTCTCTAGCAAATTAGTAAGATTGTCTCACCCCATGTTCAAGAATGGCCTTTTCCCCTTTATTCAGATTACAACCTCTCACTTTCAGTTATTTGAAAAGGAAATAATCTCCCAAATATCACTATTTCTAAAACAAGCCATAGAAAGTTGGTTGCAATTTCAATTTAATCCTCCAGAAACGACAGAACAAATAATGCAACAAATATTGTGGTTAAACTGAAATATACTAATTGATTTAAAAAAAAAAAATTGAAGAAAAAAAAAAAAAAGGTGAAATCTTCGTAAATGATATCATATGTAGGACTGGTGGAGTTATGTCGCACATGCGGCTAACAAAAACACAAAATTCTAGGCAGAGTTACAAAGAAAAAGCCATGTCTCAGACTGGCCAATAAAAGATGGGCAGTCTGAGATATGGCTTTTTCTTTGCAACTCTGCCTAGAAGGTCAGCATCCCGGAGTCGCCTCGTCACTGTTGACGTTGAGACTGGTGTTTTGCGGGTTCTATTTAATGACGCTGCCAGTTGAGGACCTGTGAGGCGTCTGTTTCTCAAACTAGACACTCTAAGTATTTGTCCTCTTGCTCAGTTGTGCACCGGGGCCTCCCACTCCTCTTTCTATTCTGGTTAGAGCCAGTTTGCGCTGTTCTGTGAAGGGAGTAGTACACAGCGTTGTACGAGATCTTCAGTTTCTTTGCAATTTCTCTCATGGAATAGCCTTCATTTCTCAGAACATGAATAGACTGACGAGTTTCAGAAGAACGTTTTTTGTTTCTGGCCATTTTGAGCCTGTAATCGAACCCACAATTGCTGATGCTCCAGATACTCAACTAGTCTCAAGAAGGCCAGTTTTATTGCTTCTTTAATCAGCACAACAGTTTTCAGCTGTGCTAACATAATTGCAAAAGGGTTTTCTAATGATCAATTAGCCTTTTATAAAATGATAAATTTGGATTAGCAAACACAACGTGCCATTGGAACACAGGACTGATGGTTGCTGATAATGGGCCTCTGTACGCCTATGTAGATATTCCATAAAAAATCAGCCGTTTCCAGCTACAATAGCCATTTACAACATAAACAATGTCTACACTGTATTTCTGATCAATTTGATGTTTTTTTAATGGACACAAAAATTGCTTTTCTTTCGAAAACAAGGACATTTCTAAGTGACCACAAACTTTTGAAAGGTAGTGTATATATATATTTGCGAGAGAAAAAAACATATGGGAAATTGGAAGTGATGCAGACAATTACATTGATGGAAGTTCCAATCTATCTGCAATATTCACTTTGGATGACAGTGTCAGACAAATTGCCATATCATCATCTAATTCACATCGGTTATACTGAATATGAATCCCTTCTATGAGAGTGAATTTTATCATTCTGTGAGTCTTACCTGGATACGATCTCCATAGTTGTCTAGTAGAAGTACTCCTAGACTGGTCACCTTCTTGGTCTCCACCATGGTCTTCAGATCAGCCAGCAGGTTCATGTGTTTGGACATGTCTGTGGCTAACACCATGTCTATGACCATCTTGCGTAGGGACTGTCTCTGTTTCTTGCTGAGGTTCTGGAAGATGTCACAGTTGTCCTCCTGCAGCAGCTTGAAGCCCACGGCCAGGTGGTGGTTCTCCAGGACCGACACGTCGTTGTACATCAGGGCCAGCTCTGAGTCTGGATGGACACACAGGAGAGGAACAGTGCTTACACACAAGGATAGACATTCTACAGCAGGGGTCTCAAACTGGCGGTGTGTGGGCCAGATGCGGCCCATGAGACAGTTTAATGTGGACACACAACCACAAAGGATTCCAAGATTTTAAACATCTCCGTCCTAGTGCCCAGGGGGATATGTGAACTCACTGGTGTTGATGAGGAACTGGTTGGACACCCCCGGGTGGTCCACATCATGTATAGCACTTGCAAATAGAGCAGCTAGGATCTCCAAGTCAGTGAACACAGCCTGTAGAGATGGGAGGAACACAGGGATGTTAATGCAGATAAATATTGTACAGCAGCGGTCACCAACCGGTCGCTCGACTGGTCGATCTCCATGGCATTCCTAGTCGATCGGCAAACATGTCTGTAAAAAACAACAACAATGAAGCCTTACGGTCCCTTTTTTGTTTTGTCTTGCGTTGTTGGCGTTAGGTGCACCTGATTCAGCTGCACGCCGGGTAGGCGACATGTTCCCATTTTGAAACATTTCATGTGTCTGAAGGTACAAACTGTGCCTTCCCGGCGGGCCTGGAGAGCAAATCAAGTGCACTATAGGCCTACCGCTGGCCAATTGGATGGCTCAGATTACAGTGTCTGCAGTAATGTAACAGGTGTAAAAGAAAGCAGCAGCAAAGTTGATACTGTGAGATTTCAAAACTTTTAAAACCATGACTAGAGAGAGACTGTCAATGAACACAGCAAAGAGCTGCTGTTTTTTATGAGTGAGTTCATGTTTAAGTTCTTACTCAGCACTGTTTATTCAACACTTTTATAGGCTATTAAAATGTGCGTTCTTCCTACTTCCACTCGCACTACAACCAACACTGCAGCTGTAATGAATGAGTAGGAAAGTGTATTGATAGGCTTGTGTTATTATTAGCGGCTTGGGTCTTTTTTAATATCGAGGAATATTTCACTTTCTCTGTTCATAGGAGTAACAACTTTAATTTGTGCATGAGGCAGAAATAATGCGGTGCGACTTGAGTTTCACCATTATCTGAAAGACGGTGTCCCTTTTTGGTCATTGTAAGCAGAGGAAAGGAAGAGCGGAGGGACGTTGAGAGGCGGACCCTCAGTCTGCTGCTCTCTCCCTCTGCTGAGACTGACCATCAGATGCAGGCACCACCAGCCCAGTAAAATAAACTGACCATCAGATGCAGGCACCACCAGCCCAGTAAAATAAATAAAAAAGCACATTATTTAAATGTATGCTCACTCAGCTGTGCTTCACAAGTAATACATCAACTGATCTATTACCGGTGTGATCATATAGCCCACCTTAAATGGTCCGAACAACAATGTATTGGCAGGGCAATTCAAGCAAAGCCAATATGCGGTGATAATGTATTGGGCCTATAGCCTACTGCACAAACCTAATTGTTACATTACTGTTTTTAATAGGTTAATGTTGCATAGGCGCAGGTTTTTTAAGTCCTGTTAAAAAAAATCTTAGCGGTAGATCTCGGCTTGCATTTTGACTCAGAAAAGGTTGGTGACCACTGTTGTACAGTATGTGTGTGAGAATGTGGTCGGACTTGTGCATAGGCGCAACAACAATATGGGACAGGGGGGACACATGTCCCCCCAATTTTCAAAACACCTCAATTGGTCCACTTTCATTAAAAAAAAATATTCTAATGCCCATAACTTAGAAGTTATTCGATGTAGTGTACAGCCCTACAGTAGGTGTACTGTTTTGAACATTACAATGCATTGTCGTATACTTAAGCAATAAGGCCCGAGGGGGTGTGGTATATGGCCAATATACCACGGCTAAGGGCTGTTCTTATGCATGACGCAACGCGGAGTGCCTGGATACAGCTCTTAGCCGTGGTATATTGGCAATATACCACAAACCGGAGGTGCCTTATTGCTATTATAAACTGGTTGGCAACTTAATTAGAGCAGTAAAAATAAATGTTTTGTCATACCCGTGGTATACAGTCTGATATACCACGGCTTTCGGCCAATCGGCTTTCAGGGCTCGAACCACCCAGTTTATAATTTTATTTTTTTTACAGTAAAAAACAAAACAAAAAACAGTATTGTCAAAAAAGAAAACAAAAATAACCTGTAACAATGATGCAATTGTACATTTGAAATGTGTAATAAAAATATTTTTAAAACAAAACAAAAATACAGTACTGTCAGTTTTTAGCTAAAACGTTGTATTGTATTGACATACCTCCAGGGCGGGCGTGGAGAGGAGGACGTGGGTGGACTGGACCACGTCTGCAGCGTGGATGTTGTTGTGGTAGGCCACGTCGTGGTGGTAGTGGTCCTCCAGGGTCATCATAAAGGTGATGAAGGTGTCTGCAGGGATCTTGAATGACTTCAGCAGCTCTCGCTCCTATATGGAAAACAGAGGGATAAAATACATATATGATTTTCATCATTTTTTAGCAGTGACTTTGTGAATTGTTTAGCCATGTAAGAGGGCCCATTTAGAAGAGGACTCATTTGGAAACATGCGGATGACATACCTGGAAAATTGAATAAATCGCCACCGTCAGTGGACGATTCCCAGAATATTCAGATATTTTGAAAATATCCACACCCCATCGGTTTATATCTTCCAACTGCTGCCAGATGGAAAAACATTTCAGTTAGAAAAAACAGCAGATCCTTTAACTCCAAAACGTGCTGGGGACTATTAGATCCAAAGAGTGACAGAACTTGTGGCAGAACAGAACCCTAAAAGTGAGGTACTTTCTAATAGTTAAATCGTCCGAAAATAAGGGATGTGTAGACTACCTTGGAGAGAAAGCCCTCCTGAGTGGAAGCGACCCCAAAGCGGGGGATGCTGGAGGGGGCCACACTAGGGATGATTCTGGGCTTCTTCACCCCCACGATCTGGGACATGGGGCGCTTCTTATTGTCCATCTTCTCCTTCTTCTCCTTGGTGGGCGGAGACATGATCTCCATGTCATGTTGCTTTTCTGTGTTACAGACAGACACAGAGCATTATTCCACAGTTATTCCACAGTTATACCAATAGAGTTCAGAAGGGTTGTCTATTGAAACCAGGGCTGGTGACACTTTACACTGAGTTGAAGTTGCACAGATATCATGTAGTTGCTTGGATTCGTATTGTCTTGGTGTAATCACATGTAATGTTACAGGCTTTGGTTTCTCCATTTATATTTTGAGGTTGGACGTTAGGGGGAAGGTGTTTTAGCTGTGCTAGCTCAGGTGCTATTTAAGAGTGGCTGGCCCAGTGCTCCGCTGGTCTTGAGAGACGTGGAGGGTTAACACCTTTAGTTGGCTCTCCCCATTTGATTTCTAGACAAACAATCCTTTATCTGATCTTCCCTGTTTTTATTTTGCTCCACTTTGTGGTTTGGTTCCTGTCTTTAAGTTTGGTTTGGGTTTTTATTTTGGTTGCCTCTTCTCAGCCATATTTAGTGGGTCTCATGGTGGGTGTCTTTTAGGTCCCACTTGTTGTTGCTAGTCAACTTTCAGTGCACTCCCCCATGAGTGTCTTTCAGAACCCCTCCTAAAACCCCACCTGTTTCATTTTGGTTGTTGTCAGTGACTATTTGTTAGTTTCCCTTTCTGTTTGAGCGACAATTTTAGTTTTTCTTGCTGGGGAACATAACAGTAACTATACAATAAGTATACATTAGAAACGATTAGGTTCACATTACAGTACATACATATGGTAGATGTCTCTACTAAGACAGTCAGACAGTGAAGGGTGGTGGAGAGAGAGACGTACCTAGGAAGGTGCTGGAGATGAACTCTGACACCTGGTTGCCTGATCTGCTGGTCTCTGATAGCTGAGTGAGCTCTCTGTTCAGCATCCTTTTGAACTGGTGAGACAAACAACAACAAACTGCATCACTCAGACTGTCACAATATAGTCTCTACTGTAGAGCTCAAATAAAAGATCCCAGATATGTTCCATATGCACAAAAAGCGTATTTCTCTCATATTTTCTGCACAAATTTGTTTACATCCCTGTTAGTGGGCATTTCTCCTTTGCCAAAATAATCCATCCAACTGACAGATGTGGCATTTCAAGAAGCTGACTAAACAGCATGATCATTACACAGGTGCACCTTGTGCTGGGGACAATAAAAGGCCACTTTAAAATGTACAGTTTTGTCACACAACACAATGCCACATATGTCTAAAATGTTGAGGGAGCGTGCAATTGGCATGCTGACTGCAGGAATGTCCACCAGAGCTGTTGACAGATAATTTAATGTTCATTTATCTACCATAAGCTGCCTCCAACGTCGTTTGAGAGAATTTGGCAGTACGTCTAAACGGCCTCACAACCGCAGACCACGTGTAACCACACCAGCCCAGGACCTCCACATCAGGCTTCTTCACCTGCGGGATTGTCTGAGACCAGACACCCAGACAACTGATGAAACTGAGGAGTATTTCTGTTTGTAATAAAGCCCTTTTGTGGGGAAAAGCTCATTCTGATTGGCTGAGCCTGGCTCCCCAGTGGGTGGGCCTGGCTCCCAAGTGGGTGGGCCATGTACACACAGGCACACATACTTCTTGCACACACACAAAGATGAATGGACACATCTGCACACACACTTTATGGACTCACTCTTACACACATGCACAAGCACTACTGACACACACACACACACACACACACACGTGCACGCTGCAAAAACAGCATCACTTCCCAACTAATTGCAAATAACTCTGCAAAGGACAGACACCTACCTGTATTACACATTAATTCACCAAGCAACACGTGCATCCCATCCCATCCCATCCCGTCTTACCTGAATGTACATCCTCGACACAGAGAACAAGTAATTGAAAGAGAACAAGTAAATTACTTCGAGCATTTCAGCACTAAATAAAGCATGGGTCGAAAAAAAAGAGAAAAAGAGCAGAGTCCTTCCTGTAGCTACTGCGCTGAGTTTACATCCCGTACTGTGTTCCTGTCCTGCTTGCCTGAGTTCCTTAATTCCACTGCAAGCAGACAGTCAACACGCAGTGCACTAGGAAGGTTTTATCCACACACTCTACTCCTGCCGCTTGCGCTCCTCTCTCCCTCTGCAGCGCTGTTCTGCCTGCTGCTCCGTGTGTAAACAGAGCGCAGCACACGCTACTCCCAACTCTAGAGAACAGCACACGCTACACCACCACGTGTGTGCCTGGCATGTGTGTGTGGTGTGTGCATCCAGGGAGAGACTGTGTGTGGTGTGTGTGTGTGTTTACCCAGCGCACATGGCTCTTGCGTGGGGAGGCTAATCATGGAATCACACAAGCTATAAACTCCAGTCTGGAGAAATAAGGAGGGGAGAGGGGGATGAGGATTGATGGATGGAGGGGGGATGAGGATTGATGGATGGAGTGGGGGATGAGGAATGATGGATGGAGTGGGGGATGGGGGTTGATGGATGGAGGGGGGGGATGGGGGTTGATGGATGGAGGGGGGGATGAGGTTTGATGGATGGAGGGGGGGGATGGGGGTTGATGGATGGAGGGGGGGATGAGGTTGATGGATGGAGGGGGGGATGGTGGGGGGGGTGTTGATGGATGGAGGGGGGATGGGGGTTGATGGATGGAGGGGGGATGGGGTTGATGGATGGAGGGGGGGATGAGGTTGATGGATGGAGGGGGGATGGGGGTTGATGGAGTGGATGGGGGGGGTGGGGGTTGATGGATGGAGGGGGGGTGGGGGTTGATGGATGGAGGGGGGGGGGATGGGGGGGGGTTGATGGATGGAGGGGGGGATGAGGCTTGATGGATGGAGGGGGGGGATGGGGGTTGATGGATGGAGGGGGGGATGGGGTTGATGGATGGAGGGGGGATGGGGGTTGGGATGGAGGGGGGGGAGTGGGTTGATGGATGGAGGGGGGGGATGGGGGTTGATGGAGGGGGGGGGGATGGGTTATGGATGGAGGGGGGGTGGGGGTTGAGATGGAGGATGGGGGGGGGATGGGAGGTTGATGGATGGAGGGGGGATGGGGGTTGATGGATGGAGGGGGGGATGAGGGCTTGATGGATGGAGGGGGGGGTGGGGTTGGGGGTGGTGGTGATGGATGGAGGGGGGGATGGGGTTGATGGATGGAGGGGGGGATGAGGTGATGGGATGGGATGGATGGATGGAGGGGGGGTGGTGATGGATGGAGGGGGGGGTGGGGGGTTGATGGATGGAGGGGGGGTGGGGGTTGATGGATGGAGGGGGGCTGGGGGTTGATGGATGGAGGGGGGATGGGGTTGATGGATGGAGGGGGGGATGGGGGTTGATGGATGGAGGGGGGATGGGGTGATGGGGGGGGGGATGGGTTGGAGGGGGGGATGGGGGTTGATGGATGGAGGGGGGATGAGGCTTGATGGATGGAGGGGGGGATGGGGGTTGATGGATGGAGGGGGGGATGAGGATTTATGGATGGAGGGGGGGATGGGGGTTGATGGATGGAGGGGGGGATGAGGATGATGGATGGAGGGGGGGATGGGGGTTGATGGATGGAGGGGGGGGGATGGGGTTGATGGAGGGGGCGGGGGGGAGGGGGGTTGATGGATGGAGGGGGGGATGGGGGTTGACGGATGGAGGGGGGGATGGGGGGGATGGGGGGTTGACGGATGGATGGGGGGGGGGGTGTTGGAGGAGATGGGGGATGGGGGTTGATGGATGGAGGGGGGGATGGGGGTTGATGGATGGAGGGGGGGATGGGGTTGATGGATGGAGGGGGGGGGATGGGGGGGTTGATGGATGGAGGGGGGGATGGGGGTTGATGGATGGGAGTGGGGGGATGGGGGTTTGATGGGAGTGGGGGGATGGGGGGGTGTTGATGGGGGGATGGGGAGTGGCGTTTTATACACAGCTCCAACACATTAGATACTGGGAGTTGGGGGAAGGGTGTGTGTCTACCGATGCAGACATGCAACCATCCCATTCATTCATATGGAACGAGCTCCAAACGTCAGAAGGGATTGGCGATTTCATTCATATTTCCTAATCGCTGATGAATGGAGTGGTTGCACTGTATTAGTGGCCTTTCACATTTGTCCAATCAGGATCAGCACAAAACGCGTTGGCAGAGAGACACGATCGCTGGCTTAGAGGGCTCTTTTTAATTTGGAAGACCACCGAAAGTGCATTGGCCAAAATATACATGTTGTATTTATTTATTGCTCACTTTGACATAACAGTGAACTAATAATATCCCTTTTGTTTTAATGGAGAGGGGAAAGGTCACTTGTTTTGGCTAAACAATTAGGAAATTAGATTAAATCAAAGTCTGAAAGAGAGTCTTTATAGATATTGTGCAGCTACAGAAAATTTGATAAAAATTCCCTGTAGATTCATTTGGCTAAGTCATGATGCATACAGAGTTCTACATCGCAGTCATTCTTGACAACTCTTCATAAAGCCAAGATGGCGCTGACTCAATGGTGGGCCTTGGGCTTTTGTATTGTACCTCCTTTAAGTCCATCATAGTGAATTAACTCAAACTGAACCAAATACTGATGTACGACATTAGTAGCTTCAGCCTTACCATTAAAGTCAACGGTACAAGTGAGTCATGAAAGCTCCCATTGTTATGAGTGTGTGTATGAGTGTGTGTGTGTTTGTGACCGTACCTTGTTGGAGGCCATCTCGCTGACAGAGTGGCGTGTCTTCAGAGTATCCAGCTGCTCCAGACACCAGTCCAGCTCATCCAGAGTCTCCACAGCCAGCTGCTGAAATGGCTCCTCTGTCATACCCACACAAGGACAACACACAATGCGATGAGCACACAATTTAATGTTCTTTTAACATTCAACATTCAACAATTATTCAATAATTAATTATTCAATCTAGAAGTCCCCTTTGCTGTTTATATCGATGGTTACATCATCAGTTCGGTTTAAAATCAGATTGAATGTAATCCTAATCTTACCCTAATTGCTAAATGGCTGAATGAAATGTGTGTATTTTTGCTTGCCTGTGTATTTTTTTGTGTAGTATAGAACTCAACCAAGCAAACCCTTTTCAAACACTCACCTGCTAAGCTTGTTTTGAACATGGATGGTGGATTACTGCCCGTTCTCCTGTGGACACACAGACATCCCAGTTTGAGTAAAATGTATATCTATGTTACTGTATATCTATTGTTCACTTCATCATTACAGTCAACAGATTTGGAGGGGCACGTGGGTTTGGGAATGAGTGGTGTAGACTTAACTTACTTGCTGGGTTGACGATCTTGCTGATGGGTCAAAACGGCGAAGTTGCTTCTTACCGTCCTCAAGCTGGCAAGCACCTACAAGAACGGACAAGATTAATACACATCCTCTTTACTGCCTCATTGTGATAGTCGAGGCCCTTCATGTATGAATAAAAACATTTAGAATATGTATATGCATACTCCGTGAAGTGTTACAATGTAACATTTTACACCACAAAAGGGCTACGCATACATTGCAATGAAGTACAAACCCTGTGTTTGCCTTGCAGCATTGCGTTGCAGAGGCAGTTGCAGTGTGTTCTGTGTGGTGCATACGTTGGATTTATCGAACGTATGCGTCAAACTGTATGCCTAAACGGGTTTGACAGAAATGGTAGCAGAAGGTGAATGTTTAACTTTTGCACACATATCTAGATGATGCTGCATACTATTTTGCGCAATGACCCAGTCGGTGTGTTCAAAGCGTCACTGACACAGTTGGTGTGTTCAAAGCGTAACTGCCTCTGCAATGCAATGCTGCAAGGCAAACGCAGCGTTCCATTGGAAATGAATGTACTTCTGGTGTACCAAAATGCAATAACGCTGTCGGTTTGATCGAGGCATTAGTGTTAAATAGTGGCTTGCAATAGTTCATTTTCAACAGGTTTACTAAACAAGCGAGCACTAGTAGCAGTGCCCCTGAGACATCATAATTACAGGCTAATGTGGTTAGAGAGGGAGCCTCCTCGCTCCAATACGTCACACATGTCAGAGTCTGGGCACCAATATTAAATCGTGAGTCAGCACATAAAAAAATACGCTATCTGGTTTCCCGGCCGGGGTGGATTTTTTATCAGTCAGCAGCCGTATCGAGGAACGCCATATTGGATTCCTCGCTTGTTTAGTAAAGTGAGTGCAGCTGTGACGCATGTCCTCCGTCACGGGCCAGGATGCCGCGATGTGCCAGCAGCATGCCAAAGGCTGTTTCGGTGGCCCTCTACTAGTGTCACTGGTGTCACTATAGTGACAGCCGTGACTTCACTGGCCCACTGGCAACAACCTTTTGTAGGTCTCTTAAAAAAAAAAAGCCTAACATTACTCAGAATCAGTTAGTGTTCAGTTACATTATTTATTCCTTGTTGTGTTGGTGTGCTTAATGAAGGTGAAGTTACATAACCACTGGACAGATTAGAGGGCACGTTACAAATAACAGGGAGAATTTGGCTTGGCAAACCAGAGAGTGCTTAAAGAGCAGTGGGACAGATTCTAACCCATGCTGGCAGCAATACATTGTACAGTACATGTGCTCCAGAGGCAGTGGCCTAGACCACCCTTGGCCAATTCGTTAACCATTTGTTCAGCTGAAAAACACAGGAAAGGGAAGAATATTTCAAAAACGAACCTGTGCAAATGGTGTCACAATCATGTCTTCTCCATGTCTATAATGGGGGAAAAACGAAGATTAAAAAAAAAGTACAGTAATAGAAACAGTGAAAAAATTGCAACCATTTAGTGTGCATACAATATTTAGCCTAAATCCAACATGACTACTATGGTATTAATGTCTACTGTACACATTACACATTTGCATTGAATGATAATCATTAATCAAGACAGTTGATCAGTGTTTGTGAAAAAACACTTCAACAACCTGCAGACTGACATCAAAGCAAAGAATCCAACAAAAAAAGGTAGACCAGACAGTGTGAAATTGAGGTCAAACAAAGGATGACATGCACTGTACATTATAGGAACCGTGAGGTAGGGAGAAATGAAAGTCCAACTGGTAAAGTTACAGGGCTGGGGTTATGCTAGCGTCTTTTTCTTGAAGCTTCACATGCAAAAGAAAAACAACTTTCCTTGGGGTCACAGGAAAAACCTGGGGGAGGGGTCAATTTTTAGTCACTGGTGCCATGGGGAGGGGATGATGGCTCTGAAACCTGTAATGGAGAATGCGGGATAGGCCTTTGAGGGGACAAATCAAAGTTTTGTCAAGTTCTTCTCACCGAGACAACCAGTTGACTTCCCAGTGCTTCAAGCTTTCTTCCCTTTAAAAACAGAGGCAAGAGTTGGTGACCTGCAACCGATTAATCACAAACTAAAGTGTTTAGACACAGGGAAACTGTCTTAGGCTGATGTAGACTGGAAAAACAAACAGCAAAAGAAGTACAAAAACAAGAAAGTCGCCCATTTTTCAAACTTTGGCTGCAGTACAAACACGTTATTTTTACCCCCTCAGCCCTCGCGCTAGACACTTTCCCTCGAGAGAGCGACTGAAGAACTTTGATCACTTGTGGGGTTGATATGACCTACAATTAAATGCAAACTGTAGTCACTTGTCAAACTCTGGTGGCCGCAAAGTTTCAAATTTAATCAACACGGCTGCATTTTTGGCATGTCAGACAAAATTATGACGCTAGCTTGCAAATAAATATATACAGTGCATTCGGAAAGTATTCAGACCCCTTGACATTTTCCACATTTTGTTACGTTTCAGCCTTATTCTAAAAATGATTAAATTGTTTTTTTCCCTCATCAATCTACACACAATATCCCATAATGACAAAGCAAAAACAGGTTTTTAGAAATGTTGGCACAATTTTTTAAATTGAAATACATACGGAAATATCACATTTACATAAGTATTCAGACCCTTTACTCAGTAGTTTGTTAAAGCCTTTGGCAGCGATTACAGCCTTGAGTCTTCTTAGGTATGACGCTACAAGCTTGGCACACCTGTATTTGGGGAGTTTCTCCCATTCTTCTCTGCAGGATGGATGGGGAGCGTCGCTGCACAGCTATTTTCAGGTCTCTCCAGAGATGTTTGATCGGGTTCAAGTCTGGGCTCTGGCTGGGCCACTCAAGGACATTCAGAGACATGTCCCGAAGCCACTCCTGCGTTGTCTTGGCTGTGTGCTTAGGGTTATTGTCCTGTTGGAAGGTGAACCTTCGCCCCCAGTCTGAGGTCCTGAGCGCTCTGGAGCAGGTTTTCATCAAGGATCTCTCTGTACTTTTCTCCGTTCATCTTTCCCTCGATCCTGACTAGTCTGAAAAACATCCCCACAGCATGATGCTGCCACCACCATGCTTCACCGTAGGGATGGTGCCAGGTTTCCTCCAGACGTGACGCTTGGCATTCAGGCCAAAGAGTTCAATCTTGGTTTCATCAGACCAAAGAATCTTGTTTCTCATGGTCAGAGTCCTTTAGGTGTCTTTTGGCAAACTCCAAGCGGGCTGTCATGTGCCTTTTACTGAGGAGTGGCTTCTGTCTGGTCACTCTACCATAAAGGCCTGATTGGTGGAGTGCTGCAGAGATGGTTGTCCTTCTGGAAGAAAGGTTTTGGTACCATTCTCCTGATCTGTGCCTCGACACAATCCTGTCTCGGAGCTCTGCGGACAATTCCTTCGACGTCATGGCTTGGTTTTTGCTCTGACATGCACTGTCAACTGTGGGACCTTATATAGACAGGCGTGTGCCTTTCCAAATCATGTCCAATCAATTGAATTTACCACAGGTTGACTCCAATCAAGTTGTAGAAACATCTCAAGGATGATCAATGGAAACAGGATGCACCTGAGCTCAATTTCGAGTCTCATAGCAAAGGGTCTGAATACTTATTTGAATAAGGTATTTATGTTTTTTTATTTTTAATAAATGTGAAAAAACGTCAAAAAAATTATAATCTGATTCCGCTTCGTCATTATGGGGTATTGTGTGTAGATTGATGAGGACATTTTTTATTTTATAAATTTTAGAATAAGGCTGTAACGTAACAAAATGTGGAAAAGGTCAAGGGGTTTGAAAACTTTCTGAATGCACTGTATAGATTACATTGATTTTAGCGTTGGCAAATTGGATCGTAGTGAGGAGCATATAAAACATAGCTAGCTTTATAAACATATTTTGGGGAATTCTGAAAATTATTGGAATTAATGACTAAACTATAAATCTTGCTTGCCAGCTATGGGTAGCTAGCTACCTGACAGCAGCGCTAGCTACGTTAGCTAGCTAGGTACATTAATAGCTTTAGGTTGGTTGTTTTTAAGGTCAACTTCAAGATTTCCACCAAGGACGTTGCCTCTCCGATCATCACTCTCCCTCGCTTGGGCAAGGGACATTTAAGGTACACTAGGATGTGACGATGTAAAATCTCATTCAAGGCCTGAGGGTTTAGGGTCGAGGGCTGTCTACTTTGAGTTTGGACTTCAGCCTTTGTGTAATCCTGCCGAAGCGGAGTTGACATGCAAGCGTGCTGGGATGGAAAGAACAGCTGGTTGCAGTAATAGGGGCTATCAAACTGGAGTACGATAGATTGTGCAAACCCGCAGAGCAATACAGTTTAATATAGCATATAGCATGTCCTAATAAAACTGTGCTCTTGAATACAAGCACAATAATGAGCTTAAGATACAGTCCACTAAGTAAGCTCTTTCGAAGGATATCTTTAGAGACCACACAAACTACTGCATAAAAAAGATGCTCTAAGGGAGTGAACGTTATTTATAATAAGGGGTTACATGTAGAAAATCAGACCTCTCTAAAATGAAAATGGATGGCCCTCCCTTCAGAAAAATATATTTTACCTAAACCCTCCCTGAACACTTGAAAAAAAAACAAGTGATCCTCCACTATACCCAAAATAATCATTAAAACAAAGTAGATAGCAGACAACTTATTGGACAGACCAGAGCCTTAGATTAGCAGTTTTAGAAACTGAATGTACTTCATCCTGTAAGCATTACATGGCAATGCCGGAATTTTTATAGAGCACAGGGCTGCGGGCCAGAAGGTTGAGCGTTCACAGACCACCATGGACAAGAGTAGAGGTAGAAAGATCTCCTTTATAGTAAAAGCATTGTATGAATCTATCATCGTATTTAAAGGTCAGAGAAAAATTAACATTTTATAAAAATGTCATGCAATTCTACGTCATTTTACGTATTAGCAGAATCTTTTTTAAATGACAAATTACCAAAATGACAGGCTAAGAATGGACAGAATGGCCCATGTTCTGAATTCTGTCGCTGTACATTTCAAAAGTGCTGAACAAATAGTTACATTGACTACGTCCGTCCTAGCGCGCTCATTCATGTCTTAATCGAAATTACAGATTGCCTCTTATCCGCTCGTCGTCCCCTTATGCCATAGTTTGTACATCTCAATTGTCAGTAGAAACCACATTTGTTTAATCAAGTCAGCCATAAACAGTTTTTTTTATGGCAGTAAATGAGGCTGAATGAACTGTTTCGCTGCCAGACAAGGCTCCGCTGATAGCCAGGTGTAGCAGTGGTAAGGTGTTGGGACTGCTGTTGGGACTCTGCTGTTGGGACAGCTTTATGTAGGCCCTAACAGTTTGTGGGCACCTTTTGTCACTGTTATAGTGCAATTAATGTATTGTTAGTGTTGTGTTGTGGCTTTGCTGGCGTGCATCTAATTACAAATACAATATTTATTTATTTTGCTCCACGAAGATTTACATGCTAAAATCGCCACTGGGCAGGAGTATGGGGAAACGTTAGTTACAGCATGGTGAGGGTAAATTAAATTATTCAACATCTTTCTAGCTAGCTAGCTAGCAACATTAGCGAAGCCAGCTGCAGTCACATATTGGCTACCTAGCAACATGACATCATTTCTAATTTCTGAAAGCAGTGGAAACGCAATTTGAGCTAGCCCACCAAGGCCAGCCCAACTTGGGTTGACTTTAAAGTACCAATGGGGCTCTTCTTGTTAGTAAAGTCTAATTAAAATGAAGACAGAAATGAATTATGCCTACTCGAATTTGCCTACTTTCAGCACCATGAGCTGTCCATTTCCGATTGATTGTGCCGCAGCTGCTGCTTCAAGTTTCAGCACCACAATGGAAATTACTCGAATCTGGCTGATTGTGAGGAGAATAACTCTGATAAATACATAATGGGCAAAAAAACATATTGTTTTGAATAAAATCTATTATAGTAGTAGCAAGCTATCAAAGTTGACCTCCAGTACTCCTCCTCATCTTCCACCTCTCCTTCTTAACCTGAACAGAACATAGGCTATAAGCTAGTCCGTGTGCAAGATAGTGAATTTTATGGACTAAGCCTAATAAAATAAAATAAATCTTAAGAAGCCTTCGACTCTCCTCCTGAACTGTAACCGTAGGCCATTGGTTAGGCAGCACACAAAAACGTTTTTGATCAGCAAGAGCAGAGAGGCCGGGGTTGGAATGTCCATTGCAGTGTGTAATGCAGCCTAGTTTTATTTACACCATCCCAGCAGCTATCTTAGAAATACAACTGCACTTCTCCGAGCATGCACTTCGTAGCCTATAGCCTATAGGCTATGGTAATTTGATTGAGACCACACTAAATAGCCTATAGGCGCACTTAATATTCCGCACTCAGCAGAGAATCAGAGATGACTTGCGGCATCGGGCACACATTGATATACAGTATAGCCTAATAAGCAACTACTTCTAAAACACTGAGAAATATTGACATTTCATCAATTACAAATTACATTACCCTCCATTGGACTAGATTTAAAACAAAACTAAACCCTCCTCTTGACTGAAATTGAAAAAGCATGACCCTCCCCTGGACTTGATTTAAAAAAAAAAAACGAAACCCTCCTCTTGACTGAAATTTAAAAAGCATGACCCTCCCCCATTTTCCTCCAGGTAACCATTCTGTACATTTCTATCCATTCCTTACTGTGATTATACAGTACAAGGGAAAACTTTCAAATGGGCCTAATGTATTCCCCATGCTTTGCTATCGGAATTCCGTTTTGGAAAGTGTTCCAAGAAGCAATTCCCTTCCACATATAATTGTATCTGTTCCACAAAACCATATCTGTATATAACCTTGGACATTACGAAAAGTGGAGACCTTGCAAAATCAAGGCATACACTGAGACATCTCTGCTATGACGCTTCCCAATAGATATGAGTGGAAGGTGAAAGGTCACAGAGGGTGACAGTACCAATAGGGTGGGGGGGGGGGGGGGGGGGGGGGGGGGCACTTACAGCTCGCTGGCAGTGGATGAGTTCCTCGAGGGGGCCTTGGGTGAGAGGTCAAAGTCCGAGTCGGAGCGGTAGAGGAAGGACTCGCGGCGCTGGCTGTGGTAGTTGGCCTGGAGCACCAGGCCGGAACCAGGACTGGTCTGGGGGTCCAGGGGGCTGCGACCCACCGACAATCCATTCTCAGCATCAAAACTATGGGGAGAGAGAAAGAGGGAGAGAGCAGATGAGAAAACAATTTACTGTTTCAAACTTGTAGCCTAAACCAAAGCTCCAACTCGACAATAAATATCTAAGAACTGTTCAAATTACAGTGAATATGAATTTCACATACAACACCCTAAGGGTATCACCCTTTAATGAGAGTGAAGAGAGTATAGCGAAGAGTACCCTGAGATGGAGAGGGATGGAGAATATGCCACAGTGGATCTCCACACGTATCATGATTTAGCGTCTTTCAATGAAAGCTTCTTATTATCGTCATCATCATGATTTATAATTGTAATAACCATGCTCCAAAAAATCATCCACGTCACAAATTATGCTCCGTCACTTAATAAATGGAACACACCTTGTGCACACACACACACACACATACAGAGAGATAGTTACAGCACAATGCACAACCGATTTTAATAATTCGCAACAAGGCACTTTTCTTTGAGACTGACGTCAAGTCAGACATCACCAACGGGACAAAGGATTCAAACACCTCCTTTCCCCCCTCTAAACAAATTGAGTGCATTTAAGAAGCCCAAACTAAAAATATCAATGGCGTCAATCATCGGACAAACCCTCCATATGAAGGAAAAAAACGAGTGGTGAAGAGGGTGAAAAAAAACGTATCATAATACATTGTGGAGTTGACTACGTCAGAACAGTGTTTCTGAATGGTGTTGGCTGGTCAGACCATGGGAACTGGCTGTTTAATGACGAGGGTCAGCCTGAGGCACCTGCTGCACAGATTCACAGATCTATAAACCATCTTTAAGGCCATTCAAATGGATATGAACGGAATCATTTACACTAAGATTAGTGCTGCTCTGCACCGCCTAGCCCAGGCTGACATGCGTGAACAGTTCTCTTTGATAATAATGCATCTCACTAGCCTAAAGGGGCTTACTCTCCTCGGGAACCCACTGCAAGGTCATGATGATGTAGGAGTCGAGGGGGAGAGATGGTCCGTCTCCGGCCAAATAAAGGCATTTCTCATTCTCTGTGCAGTTCCACCTTGATCCACATCCACATTCCGACAACCTCCGCCAACATCCAAGCTTAGCTCCACTTGGTATGCAGGTTCTGATGAACTCCAGAGCCTAAATCAGCGCTTTAGCAAACAACCATTGCAGTAACTGTGGTGGTTTTTGGACAGAAATTGGATTTAGCTTGAGCCCTTTGAAAAGAAATAGTGCAAAGTGATATGAAAAAATAAAACCCTCATGCTAAAACAGTTATGGAATATGGAATTGAAACTAACCGAGCCAGAACTGTCCCACTAAGCTATATGGAATTGTTTTAAGAAGGTCATACCATGGATCATTTAGCTATTTGATTTTGAATTTTAAGACCCCTTGAAGTATCAACATTTTTGTATTTTTTATCATTAGATGAAATAAATATTTTGGGTCTTTCTGCTATTAGCCCATACAAACGCATTGAATAACATATTCATTACATGGAACAACAGATAGTTGTCCTAAATTAAAAAATGTAAAACTAAAGTCTTAGTCAAATCCAATACAACACAACACAGAGTGAAACTCTCTGTATTTCCAAGTGTGGTGGTGGCAGCATCAGGTTATGGGTAGGCCTGTGCTTGTCACGGGCAGGGACTGAGGAGTTTCTTAGGATCAAAATAAATATGAAAAGAGCAAAGCCCAGGTAAAACATTTGAAGAAAACCAGACTCAGTCTTCTGAAAACCTAACCCTAGGATAGAGTTGTATTTTTCAGCAGGACAAATACTAAATGTTTAATGCCAAAGACACACCAGAATTAAAAAGCAATTTTGCACTGACCAAAAAGTGTAAAGGTTTCATATCACGATATTTAGATTTGAAATATTTTGGACATCAGAGCAACCTTGAGGGAATCTTATTTGAGTCAGAAAAGGATGTTCATATGATAGGTGAGATATACAAAACATTGCAGAGAGCCTATCTAACTGACAATCTCTATGAAAAAAATATAAACTATTGGAACCAAGACTTAAGAAGAACTGATGTTGGCACAAGATGGAGGGAATGTTGGAGCACATTAAACTAACACAATTACAGTTAACGAAAATGTACAAATATAATTTATTATACAAGAGACAAAAATCACAAATTCTACAGCAAATGGCAGTCATGTCTTAAGTGTAAAACTAACAATGACTCAATAATCCATGCTTTCTGGGAATGCTATAAAGTCCAACAGTTATGGGCGGAGCTAGAAAGTTGGCTGTCAGAAGTATTACAATGTAAACGTACTTTCAATCCGTCTGTCTGCATATTTCAAAACAGTTCAAATACTTTATATTTTAAACTCATTCTAACTTTTTAAAACCAAACACATGCAAGTCAAATTGTGGGAATTATACCCATGTAGATTTTACCCATGTCAAATCTACAATGTAAGAATGGCTACAATAGGCACTCCAATCATTTCTCCACCCACTTCATTCCCTGGGATGTTGCATGAAGACGCTAGTCTGTTACATTGTGTTATGTAATCGATGCAGAAGCCCCCCTCCATTCATGTGACAGAACAGAGAGAGACAGAATGCACAGAGAGAGACAGAATACACAGAGCGAGACAGAATACACAGAGAGAGACAGAATACACAGAGAGAGACAGAATACACAGAGAGAGGACAGAATACACAGACAGAGGAGACAGAATACACGAGAGGAGACAGAATGCCACAGAGAGAGACAGAATACACAGAGAGAGGACAGAATACACCGAGAGAGACAGAATACACAGAGAGAGACAGAATACACAGAAAGGAGACAGAATACACAGAGAGAGACAGAATACACAGATGAGAGAGACGGGAATACACAGAGAGAGACAGGAATACACGGAGAGAGACAGAATACAAGAGAGAGACAGATGGCCCCAAGAATGACAGATACCAGAGGAGGAGACAGAATACACAGAAGAGGACAGAATACACAGAAAGAGACCGAATACACAGAGATAGCCAGATACCAGAGCAGACAATACACAGAGAGAGACGAAATACCAGGACAATACACAGAGACAACACAGAGAGAGACAGAATACACAGAGAGAGGACCAGACAGAGAGAGACAGAATACACAGAGAGAGACAGAATACACAGAGAGAGACAAGACAATACACAGAGAGAGACAGAATACACAGAGAGAGACAGAATACACAGAGAGAGACAGAATACACAGAGAGAGACAGAATACACAGCGAGAGACAGAATACACCGAGAGAGACAGAATACACAGAAAGAGACAGAATACACAGAGAGAGACAGAATACACAGAGAGAGACGGAATACACAGAGAGAGACAGAATACACGGAGAGAGACAGAATACACAGAGAGAGACAGAATACACAGAAAGAGACAGAATACACAGAGAGAGACAGAATACACAGAGAGAGACAGAATACACAGAGAGAGACAGAATACACAGAGAGAGACAGAATACACAGAGAGAGACGGGTGCGGAAGGGAAGAGTAAGAGCACAGACTGTTAAACGCTGAGACAAGCAGAGAGACATGAAGAGAGAGAGGGAAAGAGAGTGAGATTGAGAGAGTGTGAGAGTGTGAGAGAGAGAGAGGATTCTACATTGGCAAGAATGAGGTGGCATTGCGAGGGGAGCTGTGTGTGTGTGTGTGTGTGAGAGAGAAGGAATGAGAATGTGTTCTAAAGATACCTGTGCCAGTAGCTTGTACTGTCACTCTCCCTCCTCTATCCCTCCTCCCTAATGGTGCACCTCTCCCTCCTCTATCCCTCCTCCCTAATGGTGCATCTCTCCCTCCTCTATCCCTCCTCCCTAATGGTGCACCTCTCCCTCCTCTATCCCTCCTCCCTAATGGTGCATCTCTCCCTCCTCTATCCCTCCTCCCTAATGGTGCATCTCTCCCTCCTCTATCCCTCCTCCCTAATGGTGCACCTCTCCCTCCTCTATCCCTCCTCCCTAATGGTGCACCTCTCCCTCCTCTATCCCTCCTCCCTAATGGTGCACCTCTCTCTATCCCTCCTCCCTAATGGTGCACCTCTCTCTATCCCTCCTCCCTAATGGTGCATCTCTCTCTCTCTATCCCTCCTCCCTAATGGTGCACCTCTCCCTCCTCTATCCCTCCTCCCTAATGGTGCACCTCTCCCTCCTCTATCCCTCCTCCCTAATGGTGCACCTCTCCTCCTCTATCCCTCCTCCCTAATGGTGCACTCTCCCTCCTCTCTATCCCTCCTCCCTAATGGTGCACTCTCCCTCCTTTCCTCTGCTAATGGTGCACTCTCCTGCTCTATCGTTCCTAGGTGCATCTCTCCCTCCTCTTGCCCTCCTCCCTAATGATGCACCTCCTCTTCCCTCTCGAATGGTGCAAGTCCTCTAATATTCTCTAAGTGGACACTCCCCTCATCCTCCTCCTAATGGTGCCCCTCCCCCATCCCTCTCCAATGCGTGCACCTCTCTCTATCCCTCCTCCTATGAATCATTTCTCTCTCTATTTCAAGGTGCAACCTATTTAGTCCTCTCTAATGTGCACATCTCTCCGTCTATCCCTCCTCCCTAATGGTGCATCTCTCCCTCCTCTGGCTGATTCCACATGCTCTGACTGCATGGTTGCTGCTGTCTCTGCCTCCGCTCGCTTCTGCCTCTGCTAAAAATAGCCTCTTTGTGCGGGAAATAGAATCAGAGGTTCTAAAAATAGGTTTTTAGGTGGAACAGGTTCCCTCTCTCTCTGTGTCCCCCGCTCCCTCTGCATTGCCGAGGCCAGATTCTTCCCTCCATTCATGAATATTTATGTAGTGTTTCTATTTGAAGCAGATGACAAGCTAAATTTAGTCTCCATAACAAATCTCCGCCCGTCATTCCCTCGCTGCCACTTACAGAGCTTCCACTCAGCGGCCCGGTTCAAAGCCTTCTGAGTGGGCCTTCTGACTTAATCATCAGGTTGGACTTTGTTAACCCTTCACTTGAGTACTACTCTCTAAAAAGAAAAGGTTCC